GTATGTCTTGTGTCTCTCTGTATGTCTATGTGTGTGCCTGTGTCTCTGTTTGTGTCTGTCCTGTGTGCCTATATTTCTGTATGTATGTATCTGTCTGTCTCTGTCTCTGTCTCTGTGTGTGTGTGTGTGTGTGTGTGTGTGTGTGTGTGTATTATCCCTACACTCTCGTCTGCAGGATGGTCTCCTGGCATGCTAGACATGGATGCTGAGTGGCCAAGTGGCTGCCTGCTAACTCTTCCTAGTGAAAAGAGCAGGTGGCAAGCTCTGACAGGGCTCTAGGAGGGTCTCAAGCTCATCCTGGCATGCCTCCACTCCATAACTATCTTAAAGGCTACCAAATATCTACCATTAGAAATGAATTTCTTTGGCTAAATTATGACATTTCCTTTTCAAAGCTCATAGTTACACAAGCCTTTTGGCTTCCCATACCACACAGATTTTGTCAGATCTTCATAATAACAGTTGCCATGTAACAATCATCGATCACTTTTGATCACTGTTGGGCACATAACAATTATTGATAATATTTATTGGCACATATTCAATCAAAGTATTAATTTAATGCACACAACAACCCTAGAAGGAAGGTTCTAGAATACTCATCTTATAGGTGAGGAACTTGTCTAAAGAAGAAATTAAGAATTACAGTTGGAGCTGGAGAAATGGCTCCGTGGCTAAGAGCAGCAGCTGCTCTTCCAAAGGACAGGGATTTGGTTCCCAGCACCCACCTGGCAGCTAACAGTGGTCCATAACTCTAGTCCAGGAGATCTGCCGCCCTCTTCTGGCTTATATGGGCATTGCATGCATATGGTACACTCATACGTGCAGGCAAAACACTCATACACATAAAATAAAAATAAATTGCTAAAAAAAGAAAAAGAATCCCAGCTCTGACATCAGACCACCTAAGTTTGACTCCCAGCCATCCAGTCTAGGTACACATTGTGTCTAACCCTTAGAGTCGTGGTAGGGCTTGGAACAAGGGCCAATGTAGGTAAATGCAGAATGTCAACTCTGCTTATTATCACTGCATTCCCCAAGCTCAGGACCAATGGCTGCCAGAGCTGGAGAATACTTCGGAGGGGTCCAATGCCACTCCTCTACAAGGCCATCCACTGGGGACCACATGGGAGTCACCAGCCAGTCCTGGCCAAGAGAAGGCTATGTAGGGACAGCATCTGTCAGCTTGATCCCTTGCCCCTACCCCAAGCCCAGCCTGGGCACTCACCTCCAACCCCACCTCTGCAGACAGGGAGCCAGGCTTCACATGGCTGATGAAGATGCCCGGCTTCTGGACGGGGCCACTGGAGATGCTGTGGGGGTGGAGATGTGAGTGAGGCTCTTTCTTTGCTGTCCAGCCCCTGTGCATTCTCAGTGTCCTGCCTGTCACCCTCTGCCCAGGTGGCCAGTGTTTGGGATACAGGATATCAGAGGCCCTCTGTCTCTAACTCCCTTCTAGCGCAATTGTCACTATTTCCGCGGGCATCAGCCACGGAAAACTGTGTGTTTGTGATTCCCCCCCGCCCCATGCCCTCACATACCACACGTGCTAGTTCCTTTCTTTCTAGAACTTTCCTGTTCATTCCTCATGACTGTAAGGCTTTTACTATACCCCTTATTCTACCCAAAAGTTAAGTCCCCAGAGTTATCAGTGCTCCCAAACAGAGACACAGGGACAGAGACCCAGGACGGCACTTGTACTGTTATTCTCCCCTCTAATCTGTGGCAGACATCACCAATCCATCCTAGCACTCTTTCCCATCCAGCTGTATGAAGCCTCAGCACCTTTCACAGAACAGGACCCCAGGAGGCCACTAATAACAGATTTGAGAGGGCACAGATAGGAAACCTATTTACTACTGCTGACTCAGGGTGTAGTGCCACGAGTCTTTGTCATGCTGTATTCTAACTATTTGTATGCTTGGCTTCTATATTAAGCTGCCATCTCTCAGAGACGGACTTTGAATTTTGTTTTGTTTTAATTTTTTTTTAGATGAATCTCATGTAGCCCAAACTGAACTCAAACTCACTATTTAGCCAAGGATGACCTTGAGTTTTTGATCTTCCTGTCTCCACCTCCCAAGTACTAGGACTAGTATTACACACTATGCTCAGTTTATATGGTGCTAAGGATTGAACCCAGGGCTTTATACACGCTTGGCAAGCAGTCCTCCAACAGACCTACAACCCCAGACCCCAAGTAAGGCATTAAAATTCATTTATGGGGCCAGAAAGATGGCCCAGTGGTTAAGAACAGCCACTGCTCTTACAGAGGACTGGAGCTTGGTTCCTAGCACCCACATCAAGTGACTAGCTGGAAAGACTGGGGAATCTTTTTATAGTGATTCAAGGGCCTACCAGGAACATGGCTCTATTTTGGCCTTAATTCCTCAATATCACCTGTATACAGGTCTTAGTGCTGGTGGACAAGAGTCCTCAGAAGCAGCAGTGAGGAGGGGGAGAGAAAGGGGGAGAGCCCTGCTGGGGTCTCCTGGCTGCCACTGAGCCCCAGACAGGCTTGCCACTCACCTGCAGCCCAGGCCCCGGGAGCCCACCAAGCTAATGAACACCTTCTTCTCCTTGGTTGGCCGATTCCCAGGAGAGCCCAAGCTGCCCCGAGTGCCCTGGAAGAGAGACAAGCAGGTTACTGGGTGTCTGTATGCATCTGGTCTCTTTAGCTTGAGACCTTCAGGTCAAGCACTCCAAACTCATATAGGCCAAACAGCCATTCTGTCCCCGAGGTGTGAGTTTGCGGATGCACCAAACCACAGGAGCTGTATGCCCTGGGGGCTTATGTCAAGCGCCAGAGGACACATCCCTTGAACCACCCACCTTTCAAGCTGCACACATCCCATCGCAGGTAGCCCTAGCCTCTTACCCCAGACTCTGACACAAACTGATCCACATACTGCCATTTGAGGGGCTCCTCTGGAGAGCTGAGGGGAGGAAAGCACATAAAGGGGCTACTGAGAATGACTGAGGGACCCATCCCCAACTTCTCTGCTGCATGGGGAGCTTTCTCCTCCCCTGGGCCACTAGCAGTGCTGGCCAGAGCATGGGAAAGCCAGACCCGAGGACCACTGGCCTATAGGAAGACTCAGAGGAGGGTCCGACTTACCTCTTCACAGGGATCAGGCCAATGTCTGTGGGAAAAGGCAGTGGGTTAGGACAGCTCCTCTGGCCCTTGGAACTTGGGCCCTGATGCCCACCCCCACCAGTACCCGAGCCCTAGCCCTCTGTGCCTCACTCACGTCTCACTTTAATGGACACAGTCTTCTTGGTGCGGATCAAGTTGATGACTTCTTCATGGGTGCAGGAGGAGATGGAATAACCATTGATCCGGACAATCTCATCCCCTACCTTGGCCACAGAGAAAGGCAACAAGCACAGGGGAGTGTCAGGCAGTGAGGCAGCCCCACCACCAGATACTCCTGACCTCAGAAAGGCTGACACCCAGAAAAAGCTTTATCTGTGACCTTGTGCTGTGTCACAGCTAACCCACCCTTCACCAGCGGAGGGATCTCAGGGCAGGCAACAGTTCCAAGATGAGGAGATCAAGATGGGGTGGGGGCATGCAGCAGATGGGTAGCAGAGCTGGAGTAGGACTCAGGACTCTTTCCATGGTTCCCATCACCCCCCGGGGCACCATCAGGTTCTGGAATCTAAAAGCCCCAGCCTGGTCTTTGTCTCTCCCCCATCCCAAAAAGCAGGCTCCCTGTCTGTTAATTACCACCACGCTGTAACTGAACCCAGGGTGGGGACCTATGACTCCTGACCCAAGCTCACATCACCAATACAAACACATGATCTCTTTTTTTCCACCTCATGAAAACTTGATGAACTTAAACTGACTTCTGAATCTCAATTCTAGGAGTCAGCAATGAGCACAGAATGAGCATAGGACTTGGGTGTCTGATGTCCTGGGTTCAAATCCCTACTTTAATTCTTACCAGTTAATGTGACCGAGACTGTTGAACTCTCTGAGTTCTAGATTCCTTCATCTTATAAGAGACTACTGTAGTGCTGGTCAGAACTAAGCAAACTTATGTGTGTAAGGTGTGTAAGACCAGCCAGTACCGACTGTGGTGAGACTGCCCCCTCCTGACCACTGCTGCTGCCTCCTCCAGACACTTCAGACCTAGGGATCAATCCTGGAGTGCACTGAATAACCAAAGAGCCGAAGGACCCTTGGACAGCAACATAACATGAAACCTGAGGTCAGGGTGGAAATAGGCTGTCGGGGGTGTAGTTGGTGGCTCCGATGATGTCTTGCCCAAGGTCATAGAAACTGAATGAACCCTGGGTATCCTTCTGCATTCTGAGGCTGGGAGGCTTCACTTACACCACGGGTGCTAGCCCCTCAGAGACATGCTGGCACATATGGGGATCACAGGCTGGACTCTAGAGTCATGTGGCCTCCAGGTCAGCCCCCAGCCTGCAACAGTCCCGCTTCCCTCGAGACACAGGCACCCAGCGAGGAGAGGCTTGCTAAAGAACTCTCTAAGTTTCTGGGTATACTGAGTTCAAAGAGAACAGCTGGCTAGCTCTTGCACCTATTTTTTTTTATAACCCAAAAGGGCAGGAATTTTTGTTTCTGCTCTGTGTGGAAACCTGAAAGAAAAGAAAGGCTTTTGTGTGGGGACCAGGGTGACACACCGAGGAAGCAGAGATTCAGAGAGGTGAAGTGACTTGCTCAAGGACACCTAGCAAGCAAACGGGGCTGCAGGGATTTGTAGTCAGGTCTCCAAGATGGACAACAAGCGTTGGCTCTTTAGTATCCTGAGGTAGACAAGAAGGGCGTGTGGCCAAGCCTGGCTGCAGTTCCCTGCATCTTGCCCATTCTGGATTGGTGCCACCTTGTCAGAGCTCAGGAATCCCGCAGGAAGACAGGGATTATTACTCTGTCCATTTTACAGCAAGGACAAGAAAATCACTTTCTGGTGCAGTATACCACGAGTGTATAGTATAGGCTGTCCTGTGCAGTGCAGAGGACACAGGTTAAGACAGAATTAGCTTGGAAAAAAATCCAAAGCATCCAGCAGAGGACAGGAGCAGGAGATGGAGCCCCAGGACTAGATCCCATTGGAGGGTTAAAGACCCACAGAACACTTAGTCTCACAAGTCAAATCCTTTTTGCCTTCTAGAATCTTCTCTGTGCTGTTTTTAGGCATGAGAAACTTGAACCCCAGGTCTGTCAAGGATGCTGGCAATTTCATCCGACTCCTTTGAGTGGCGTTCCCTGTTTTTACTACAGGAACTTGCCCAGGACTCCAGTCAGAACAATTCCCACAGGGGCTCCTCCTGGCTAGGGTTGCAGGATCGACTTCCCTCTCCCACTTGGTCTGCGCAGAACCTTGCAAAAGGGCCTTTGTGTAGAGACCACAGTGACATGACAATCTGAGGGATAGTGGGACAAAGAAGAGATGGGCCCATCAGCCCCAGAAATGGGGGTGGGGTTCATAAAATAGAGGAGCAGCCGGGAAGGTGGACGTCTGAGTTTCACGAGTGTCCTGGTGCCTTCTGTCACGGGGCACCGCAGAGAAGCACTCCTCCTCAGAGGCCCTGGAAAAGAGCGGGCCTCAGCTGGCGCCAAGAGGGGAACTCATTATGTTCTCTTCTCTGACTGTGTTTCTGGACTGGAAAATGTGCCACAGAGAAAAGGACAAATGAAGGGGCTGAAATTTCAGACGCCACTGGGAGCCCCGAGACAGGGACTGAAAACAAAGTCGTGTCTGTCAGCTCACTGCCCCCTACCCCTCCAAGTCTTTGCAGGAGCCCCCTGAAGCCCCTGGCTTGGCCCCTGATGGGGATGTTGGTAACAAAATCTCTGGAAGTTTCTTTACCTGGACAGATGAAAACACAACTCTGAGACTTGGATGTCTGCCCACCTCTACTCTGACAGGGAGGTGTGGAAACCACGGAGGAGAACGCCTAGGGTGCTGAAGAGAGATCCCTGGTTCGGCACTGGGAGACCCAAGTTTAAGACCTGACCCTGCCACTCACTGGCCTCTGAGTCTCTGTGAACTGTATACAATGGGGTTGATTCGTCTGACAAGTGCACGTGAACTCAACGCCTGGCGCAATGAACGTGTTCTCCGAAGTTCCCCTCTCTGCTAACCTGTCAGTCTCACACCATGTGCCAGGCATTGTTGTAAGCACTTTGTTTTTATTCGCCTAGTCTTCATATAACTTGATGAAGCAGATGGCTTTATAACCATCTTACTTTATACATGAGGAAACTGAGGTGTAGGGCCAAGTCATTTCACCAAAGTCACACAGCTTAAGGAACAGCAAGGCCAGAATCTGAACCAGATAGGTGGTCCACAGTGCAGCATGCTGCACTGGGTTTGGGGCTTTTGGTTTTTTATTTGTTTGTCTTTTTGAGACAGGGTTTTCCTGTAGCCCCAGATGGCCTTGAAACTTACAAAGATCCGCCTGCCTCTGCCTCCCAAGCTGGGATCAAAGTCCTGGCTTGCACTGGGAGTTCTTTATCCCTGCTGCCAAAAGGTGACTGGACCAAGCTTCAAGTACCCTGCACCTCTGTCAGGGAGTAGGGAAGCGGGGGAGGGGCACAGCAGCAGCAGCAGGAGGCAGCCCCGGTGAGGCTCAAGCAAACAGACAGGGCTAGGGCCAGGGTTCAGTGGTAAAGTGTTTGCCTAGTCTGCGTGAAGTCCTAGGTTTGATCCCTAGCACCCATGCATGCACACACACACACGTGCACACAGACACACACACAGACATACACACACACACACACACACACACACACGGTTTGCCTGTCCCCTAAAGCCTTTCAAACACAAGTATGAGCACCAGGTGGCCTCTCCTTCCTTCCCCAAAGGCCTAGGAAAATAAATGGCTTCCTAGTGCCACAGCCCAGTAGATGAGGGGGAGGTGGGACATCTGAGGCCCCGCCCTCTTCCCCCATCTCTGCTGCTCACCTGCAGCCCAACGCTGTCCGCCTGGCCACCTTTGATGAGGTGAGAGATGAAGAGTCCACAGCCGAACTCCACGCCTCCACGTACACTTAGACCAAGGCCTTCCGGATGCTGACGGTCCAGACGCACCTCCTTCAGCTTCCTGTTGCAGTGGTGACAGTTGGTGATGGCCCAGCTCAGGCCTAACTTCCAGCACCGTCCACCCCGGGTGGCCTTTCCCAGGCTTCTGGGGTTCCCCTCCGAACCTGGAGCGCCGGGGAGTCAGCTGGTCGTACTCCACCTGGTGCTTCAGTGGGATCAGGGGCCGGATGGCATCAAACAACGGCAGGCGGCTGGGCTCATTGATAACCAGCTTCAGGTCTCCCACAAGCACTGCCACATCCATGGTTCTGCAGAGATGTAGGGAGAGGAAGCAGGGGATGCCTGAAGAATTGCCCTGGCTATGGCCTCTGTCCCACCCTCTGGGTCTAGACATAAACTTTCCTGAAGAACCCAGAGGCCCTAGTCTTGGAGGAGATTTGTCATCGCCAGTTAGTACAAGAGACCTAGAGTAAGGGTTGCTGACTGCAGAGAAAATCAAGACAGGATTTCAAGACCAGACATGACCAGTTCCAAAGTCCAGGATCTCTCTAGACAGGAAAGCTCAGCATAAGATGCAGATAACCTCTCCCCTACTTCAGTCTTTCACCCTGACCTGCCCCTATGCTCCGTCCGGACAGTCTGCCCTGATTGTATTCTCACACACCTCATCATCCAGACCCTCCCCATCTCCAGTTATCTGCCAACTTGCTCACGCTAACCTTTTCTAACCATAAATCACTTCCCTTCTCAAAACCTTTCTGTAGCTCCCTCCTGCCCAGAGGACACAATCCATCCTTCTTGACAGCCTTAGGGCCCTTCATGTCCTGGTCTCATAGCACAACTCCAGCCTTGTCCCAGTAGGCGTGCTGTGGACCTCCAGGGATTGCCTGTCATTCCGCAGTCACACCCTGTCTTCCCAGGCCTCTGCACCTGTGCCAGTCCTGAGCTCCGCGCTCTTCCCTGATAGTCCACCTATCAAGCCCCTCCTTTTTCACTGTCCAGCTCAAGCCTGCCTGGTACCTTTCTGCAAACTCTCTGGGACTGGAGAGATGGCTCAGAGGTTAAGAGCACTGGCTGCTTTTGCACAGGACCAGGTTCAGTCCCCGGAAACCACATGGCAGCTGACAATGGTCCTTAACTCCAGTTCCAGGGAACCCAATGTCCTCTTACTGTAATTTACATTAGAGTTCTTGGTGTTTGCAGGCCATGAGGAAAGACAGCACATCCTGTCCTAGACCCTGTATGGCACTCTGAAAGAGGCAGGAGCTCATAAACGCATACTGAATGAATTAAAACCCAAGTGGGTGGCCAGAAAAGGCTAATGTGGTGGCTGGGGACAGCTGGCTTTCTTGCTCTGTCCTAGCCATGCTCTTGAACCTATATAGCTACTTGACAGCCTCCCCTATCAGACTAGTAGAGGGCAGTCTGTCATAGTGTACACCAGCCTCTGGCCCAGGACCAGGCAGGAAGTACATAACTGAAGAGGCACTGAAGCCGTGAACAAGTGCACAGCATATGCACGGGTTCCCAGGAGCACTGAGCATGTGCTGTTTCAGATATCTTCCCCCGCCCAGGACTCCAAAACATGCACGCTGGGCCCTGCACACTTACTGGTGGTACATCCGCAGCACATCATAGAGATAATCCTTCTCTGCATCATTTTCAATCAGAAAATCTACCTGGAAGACCAAAGAACAGAATTACAGCTTCAGGCTGTGTGTACACCAGGTGTCCAGAGCAGACCTGGGGAGGAAGGCCGTCCACCAGGATGCCCACAGCAGCCCCTAAGGCTAAAGATGGGAAGAAAGGTGGGGAACCAGGGGCCAGCCTGTTTGACATATCGGACCGGTATACAGCACCCTGAGTAGCCCTGGAACACTTGATCCCTAGGTATGTCACAGGAGGGCATACACACATATGTTCACATGTGGATCCCCATGTAACAGTGACATGCCTCCCTGTCACTACTGCCCCCCCTCACGTCACCCATATCTAGAAGAAGCCTCACCTGATGGTGACTGTAGTGCCGGATAAATGCTTTGAGGAAGGATTTGGGCCACTCACTCAGATAACACATCCCACCCACCGGAAGCACCTACCACCATGTTCTTCTGTGCCAACTATGCCGGAGCACTCTGCCCTGGCCTAAGCTGGACTGGCCTTGAGTTCTGACCACTAGTCAGTCTCCTGGCCACTCCTTCCCCTCCTCAGGCCCCAGCGTGCCCCCGCCAGGGGGAGGGTCAGGTTACATCATTTCAGCTTTGCTGACGTCAACGGCTGGCCTCCCGGGTCAGGTCAGGAGCTGTTTCATTAGTACCTCCATCCCAGGGGAGTGGGCAAGCCAGGAGCCCCAAATTCTACCCTTTGGGAAAGTTTAGTATGAACCTCTACAACTTTATACCTGGCTCTCTCTTTAGGCCAAGACCGACCAGTGGGGTGAAGTAGATGCTGGAGGGGCCACCAGGCCATTCCCTCTTCTGGCCTCCAGGCCTAGCAGCTTGGGGCAGCCTCCACCCTTCACAGGAGAAGCTGCTGCAGGCTGGGAGCTTGAAGCAGGCCCAGGGCAGCTTTGTCTCCTCTATGGCAATCTAAAGGGCTTCAGAAGACCGTGAAGAGTCCATCTGTCCCAATTCACAGAGAACTCGTGGGGGCCAGCCTTGGGACTTCTGTTCTGAGCAAGAGGGTAGATTCTCAGTCTTCATCTAGAGGTTCCCTTTCCTCTAAATCTGCATGAGCATTGGACTGAGGATGACAGGAACCCAGGAGACTGAGCTCCATGGACATTCAAAGTATGTGACAGAGACTCTGAAAGCTCCACCAGCTGCCCCGATGGGGATGCCCCTGCCCCCTCCCTCTTCCCTTACTTCGGGGGACTCCCAGCATCTAGATGGGGAAGGCACATCCTCGGTGCTACTAAATGCCCTAGGACCAGAAAAACCTTCATCCACTAGATCAGCCTCTCACATGCTTAATAGCTTCTCATTGCATGTAAAAGCAAAGTCAGGGGCACAAGGTCCTGGGTTTGATCCCCCAGCATGACACAACAAAAGCCCCATCAAGTCTGTATCTTGATTTATACAAGCTCTGCCTCCTCACTCCTCACCTGCCACTCTTCCTGGCTGTCTAGGCCTCCTTTCAGCACCTCCGGCAAGCCAGACTCCCACCAGCCCCAGGGCCTTGGCATATGCTAACCCTCTGCTTATTCTCCCTGCATGGCCAGTCATCTTTCCACCGAGGTCTTCTCTGCCCACCTACTGACCTACCTACTCCTGCCTCCTAGGGACATTTCAATTCTACCAGGACATCACTTAATCATTGTAACTTAAGGCTTGCTAACTTTTCAGAAATTTTTTTCTGTCTCTTTTGCTATATGGAAAACCACAGGAAAAGACTGGCTTCATTCGGCATTCCTAATGCCTAACACATAGTAAGTGTTCAATAAATAAGTGATGAACGGATTGGTCCCCTACCTCCTGAGCTGCCCACATCTTTCAGGAGGAAGGAGCCGTGGTGACATAAGGGAAGGAAAATAACCCTTGCGGGACCCCCAGGAGCTCCTATGGTAGCTTTTCATGACCTTTACTCCCTTCATTCAGTGTACCAACCCTGTGAGACCTGTCTTCTCACACCATTGTACAGGAAACACCTCAGAAGAAACATCAACTCTCCCAAGGCCCCATAGCTAACAACCAGAGCCAAGATTTGAACCCAGGTCTGACTCCAAACCTTGTACTCTGGCTATTGCTTAGTGTCTAGTGAAACTCAGGCCTTCCAGGGGAAATAGCTTGCAAGGCTCCTTCAAGCCAAAAAGTCCAACATTTTGCTTTAGAGATATTTCTAAAACCTCAGCTCAGTAGAGGAGTGGTTGCCTTGTATCACGAGGTTCCAAGTTTGATCCCCAGCAAAACACACACACACACACACGTACACACACACACACACACACACACCCTCACTCACTCACGCCACACAATATGAAGAGGAAGGAAACAGCATCTTTTCAGTGATGGTTTGAACCCCAACTCTTCTGCTCTTTAGGGGAGCATAACAATCCTGTCTGATGAATTGGAATGCGGATGCCCTAACTAAAGGGCATCTAGTCTAAGTCTGGCTTAGACTTTTCCCCTGGGGGCAGGGAAAAGGACAGGAGAGGGACCAAACTTTCCTCTCATCACTCTGCAGAAACATATCCACTACATGCTTAGGTTTAAGCAGCAAGGGACTGTCCTCACAGATGACATTTAATGTGCCCTGACTGGAAAGGCAGGGTCAAAAACTAGAGAGGACTTTGCAACTTTAGGGTCCAGATTCTATTGTTTCTGTCTTCCCAGGGTCAAATACAGACTCCTAGAGATGATCTTTCTAGAAAAGAGCTTGTTCCTGGGCACCCCCAGACTCTGGGCCCTGTGAATGGCCCTCTAATGCTGACTGCTGCATTCAGAGTCCCTACACACAAATCACACTCTACCAGACCCCTTCTGAGGGAGCATTCGGAGTTTATCCCAACCTCAAGTTCACTGCCCTCATCAGTAAGGTCAGGTCAGCCCTATTCCAGCCTATCTGGCCTTGTCAGCCTCTGCAGGGCCATCTCTACATTCCACATGGGACTTGGAGAGGCTATAGTCAGACAAGCCTCTCCTTTGATGCAGTGGAACCTTTCCAGCCTTTCTCACAATATCTTATCTACCTCCATAACCAAGTCATCCATTCAAAATCACCTAAGGCGTGGGGAGGCAGTGCTGGCTCATGTAGCTCTTTAGGCAAGTGTAAGTGCTGAATCAACAGGAAACTCCACAGATGGGGGGACCATTCTTAACCAGAAATGTCTCAAAGAAGACTCAAGAAAACAATCCTACCTTGTTCTCTGAAAACACATACCTCACTCTGGAGGCTTTCCAGGACACCAAAAAAAAAAAAAAAAGATGAATGTCCCCTAGAAACCTGAATGTGCCATAACAGTGCCACTATCATTCAAACTACACTTTAAATATATATTTTTTAGGCTGGGCGTGGTGGTGCATGCCTTTAATCCCGGCACTCTGGAGGCAGAGGCAGGCAGACCTCTCTGAGATCGAGGCCAGCCTGGTCCACATACAAGTTTCAGGCCAGCTGGTCTTACAGGGAGACCTTGTCTCAAAAAGATTTTTTTTTAATGTTTTTAAAATTAGTACCATCTCCACCCAGAATTCCCCCTAACACCAGTCCAAGATGAGCTTTGAGAGGCTCTGCTCTAGGGCACTGTGCATATGAAAGCACTTAGCACACAGCAGGTCTTAACACTTGGATTCCTCCTCTCCACCTACAACCCCCATACCAGGCACACAGATGCACACAGTTCCTGGGATTTGCTGAATGATGAATAGACTCCATCTGAGCAAATCTACAGGCAATAACTTTACTTTTCCAACAACCCCAGGAATAGATCTTATTACTATTCCCATTTTACAGATGAGGAAACAGGCTCAAAGGAGCAGTAGAGCTGAGACTCCAGCCTATGTCTGCTGGTTCTGAAATTGCATCTACCGTATGGTATCCACTTCCCGTGTGTTTTTTGAATGCACTTGTCCAATACACAATTATTGAGTACCTGCTGTGTGCAAGGTGTCAGTGTTCTTTCTCTAGATTTAGAAAGCTTTTCCCTTTGTTGGCTCTCTGAGCACAGGGTGCAGAACCCCCAGTGGAGCTCACTGTGCCCAGGAACTATTGGGGTCTCTACCACACCATCAATCCCCATTTCCATGCAACATTAATGTTCTCTGGTGGATGCTCAGCTGGCACTGGGCTTGGGCCCTTTGCCTGAGGCACTGGATAAAACTGGGGTTTGGCCTTGGTCCCTTTGCAGCCTCATCTCCTGGGATTCACCCATGAGAATCAGCCCAGTTGGACAGGGAGACAGAGAGAACCAATGAAATGCATCCACTCTCCAAGCTCCTTGAGCTGCAGTAGGGATCAAACATAAGCACTTGGAGCAGTTCCCAATGTGTGCTGTGCCTTTCCTTTGTGTATGGCCAGTCTCCTGTCCTCCTGCATCCTTTGACTTCCTGCTGTGTTCAGCTAGTGGGAGATACTAGCAGGAGACCAGCAATGTGAGGAGAGAGGAAGTGATGTCGTTAGTCCTCTGTGGGCTTCCTGCCACCAGCCTAGGTGCTCATACTGGCCCAGACCTGCCCTTCCCTACAGGTTCCTAAGGCCCTGGCTGCTGTGGAGGAGCCACCTGTCTCCTGCTGCAGCCCTGGCTGCTATCAGAGTTAACAGTGGAGATCCTGCACCCTGGATATTCGACTCCAGCCTCCCTGCTTCTTAGCCACACCTTTCATCAGCTCCCATCCTCTTTGTGCACACACACACTACTTTGACCCCACCTCTTTGGGTCCTGTCAGGTTGTGTTGGTCTCGTTGTCTTCACCCCTCTCCTCCAAACCACGTGAGCCCCAGGGTGGGTGTGAGTGTGGAGGGCGAGGCCACATAGCCTTCTCCAGAATGAGTCTGCACCTTTCTGTGCCTCAGTTTTCTCTCTGTAAAATGAGATCTCTCGGGGCTAGAGAGATGGCTCAGCGGTTAAGAACATTGGTTGTTCTTGCAGAAGACCCAGGTTCTAATCCTAGCACCCACATGGCAGCTAACAACTGTCCGTAACTCCAGTCCCAGGGGATCTGACAGCCTCTTCTGACCTCTACGGGCCTTTCTCTCTCTCTCTCTCTCTCTCTCTCTCTCTCTCTCTCTCTCTCTCTCTCTCTCCTCTCTCTCCTCTCTCTCCTCTCTCTCTCTCTCATCTCCCTCTCCCTGCAGGGCTTCGCTATAGCCCCAGTTGGCCTGGAACTCTAAACCTAACCCTAATCCTAACCTATGTAGACCAGGCTGGCCTTGATCTTCCAGCCTCCCGAGTGCTGGAATTAAAGGCAAGCACCACCACGCCCAGCTAAGTAGTCTCTTTCCGAAAACAGGACTTAGGGGCTAGAGACATGGCTCAGTGGTTGAGAGCACTGGCTGCTCTTTTAGATGACCAGGGATCGGGTTCCCACCACCTGATCTGATGCCCTCTTCTGATCTCTATGGGCATTGCACACACAGGTGCACTTACATACATGCAAGTAATAAACTCATACACATAAAAATAAATACTTTTTTAAAAAACAGGATTTAATCCTTCTACAAGGGGTAATTTTTCATTATTAATTCAACGAATTATTAATATATGATGAGTTTACGACAATGCCCAGAAAATGCTCAGTCTTCTGTGTTTATAAATAAAACTAGGAAGAATGAGTAGATGAGAGGTCTGGATCCTCCACAGCTGGCAGCAGTTTGCCCTCCATAAAGGTAAGTGGGGTGAACAGACCCAGCCTCCCTTCCACACAGTGAACACCCAGCTTTATTTAACACTTGTTTTATTATCGAAGAGCATTTTATTGAAGTACAGTTGACATGTGAGAAGCCGTTCATATTTAATGTGAGTCAAGGGTAAAAATACTCGTGACATTTTACCCATCACCAAAACCAAGGACATTGCTTTCATCTTGTCAAAAGTCTCATCTCAGCTGAGTCTGGTGGTATAGGTTTATAGTCCCAGTTACTTGGGAGACTGAGGCAGAAGAACTGCAAGTTCAAATCCTGCCAGGGCCACAGAGTGAATTCAAGGCCAGCCTAGGCAAGTTAGTGTGGCTTTGTCTCAAAATTAAAAAAGGGAGTCCATGCCTGTAATCCTGGCACCTGGGAAGTAGCGGCAGGAAGATTAGGTCTTCAAGATCCTCTGCTACCTAGTGAGTTTGATGCCAGCCTGGGCTACATAGGACCCTGTCTCAAGAAAACAAAACAGAGGCAGGCGTGGTAGTGCACGCCTTTAGCCCCAGCACTTGGGAGGCAGAGGCAGGCAGATATCTCTGAGATCAAGGATGGCCTGGTCTGCATAGTGAGTTCTAGGCCAGCTGGGGCTACAGGGAGACCCTGTCTCAAAAAGACCAAAACAAAGAAAAAGTAAAAAGGGGCTGGGAAGTGTGGCTCAAGGTTGCACTGCCTGCCCTCCTGCCCTCTCCAGCCTGAGCCCACTCTGTCTTGGGTCTTCTCTGCACTTATTCTCTGAGCGACCACATCAGTCCCAAAGCTTTAAATGCCTCTTCTGCTCCAAGCATGCTCATCTCTAGCCCCCCCACAGTCCTCCCTGGCTGAAGGGGCACAGGGCGCCTCAGAACACCCAAAAGGGACTCAGGTTTGTTCTGTCCCCTCCAGCCTGCAGCTCCTCTAGCACATAGACATATCCTGCCCTCTTCATAGCCACAGCCAGTCCAAGGCAAAGCCCAGTCAGTATGGCAGGCAGCCTGCAGATGGGACTCTTTCCACTCTGGCCAGCGGGGGCAATCCCATTCAAATGTAAACCAGTCCGTCTCCCCCAGCTGGCCTCTCAGTACTCTCAGAAGAAAGTCCTAACTATCTGCAACCCCACCAGGCACTTCCTACCACCTCCATTCTGCAATTCCTCTCACACAGCTCCCCTGCTGTTCCGAAACACAGCAGACCAGTGCGAGCCTCACTGTGTTCCCTCTTCCTGGAACGCTCTTCCAGGTACACTCCATGGTTCCTCCCTCTTCTCCTGGGTTCAAAGGCTTCCTGATGGCTGCACACAATAAACTTACCACCTTCTACCCTCTATCCCCTCCCAAGGTTTACATTTCTCCTAGCAGTATCATATGATACTCTATTGGTTTCCTTGGTAACTGTCTTCTCCACCAAGGTGTGCATTCCTGATGAGGGCTGGGCTCTGTTCTGTTCTTCAGTGCTAGGAATTCTCCCTGGCATATATCAGCGCTCAGTCAGTATTGCATACATAAATGAATGAATGAATGCATAGCAAACCCCCAGAAGGGAGGGGATCTCTCTGGTCTTACTCATCACACCCCACCCTCATCCGCCTGGGCCTCTGGTGGCCTGCCCCTGGGCAGGGATCACCGGAGCAACTCATAAATGCTAAGAAAGGCTTATTGCACCTCCTGAGCAAATGAGTAACCAGGTTCCTGCACTGTCAGTGCTGCTGGGCACAAAGTGGTTGAAAAGCTGGCTGTGGGGGGAGATTAGCTCCTGATCATCCCCTTTCCTGCCCAAGGGGAAGGCAGGCAAGTGCTGTGGAAAGCTTTGGGGAACCACACAAGAACATAGGTGCACGCTTCCACAGGGGTCCCTGGCAGTCACTACAAGCCGAGGAGAGCCCACGCTTGAATTTCTGCCTAATCCTGTCTCGCTGGTAGACACTGTAAACTCCTCTCACAGGGAAAAAACAAAAGCTCAGAGACTGAACAGCTTGCTTGGCTTGCTCAAGGTCTCAGTGTCAGTGAGTGGCAGGAGAGAGACTTGACCCCGGTTCTGAATAATAAACCTTAGTGCACATCTGCGAGGACTCCCCGAGTGCCAGGATCCACTTGAGGCTGCTACACACTCAGCCTTCGTGGTAATTTTATTAGTTACTTATAGTTATCCTTAGTTTGTAACTTTGAGACCTGAACCACTGATGATAGGTAACTCACTCTAGGTCACTCAGGATCATCCACAACATATGACCTTGAATACTACCTCTAGCAACTCAAGATTTAGATTATAAACTGCTGCCCAGGGGGTGAATTTGCTCCAAAACACTCAGGAAGGGGATCTAGAGGGCAAGCAACAGCCGGCTGTGAATTCCACCCTGCTGGCCTGTGTGCCTGCATGGCTATCCTCACCCTCAGTTCCCAGATGATCCCAGCTTGAGAGGCTACGGCTGTTACCATCTCTGAGAGAACAGGGCACAAAGTCCAGTTCAGGCCTTGCCCAGTCAGGTACCTGCCCTGCCTGTCATTAATAGCTAATGACTCTGACAGGACTGCGGCAACAGGGAAACGAGAGGCTTGAGGCCCTTTGGAGCCTGGGGAGAAGGATCGGGGGTCAATGTGGAGTCAAGTCAGATATCAGGGACCCTAGCGGTGATTCTCTCAAAAGAGGCAATGGGTAGGGAAGAAAGGCTGATGGTGCTTTTAGTCCAAAGGCAGGAAAATGAAATTCAAGCTCAGGCGGGGAGGCTGAGCTCCTACAAAGTGGGTTGACTGAAATCTACACTCAGCAAGTGTCCTTGGTGGCTGAAACAGTCTCTCTACATAGTCCCCTGCAGCGTGGCAGCCCCCCGCCCCCATTCATCAGCTCCCCACTCCTGCTGAATTTCCAGCTACCTCTCACCCCGGAAGCAGAACAGGAACACCCAAGGCCTCATGTTTAGGAAGCTTCTTTGCCCTTAAACCCCTATAAAACCTTGATCCCATACTGTGCCCAAGATCTGCCTCCCACTCATACAGCAAATAATTTGAGGGCACAGACTGGGTCTGGCACAGACTGGGTGCTCAGAACCAACGTTTTAAGAGAATAGTTGATCCCAGCCACTAGGTCTAAGCCCTTGGCCTGCATCCCCCCCGCCTGGCCCCACAGTGGCTGACTCCTGGGCATCTCTGGGCCTCTGTGGGAAAGGAGGGGAGGAGCCCCTCGCCCTAGCCTCATCACTTTGCCCCCTCAGACTGGGAAGAGGTTCAGCTTGGTATCAAGCCTCAGGGTACCCCGTGGGCAGGGCCTGTGGGTATTAGCACACACCTGGCTTTACCCCCACCTGAAGGCCTAGTAGGGAGATCGATCACTGAGCTCCACAGGGGCCCTTCTAGCTGATCCTGCACAGTTTGGGAAACAGCTTGGGAAATGCCCGTCTTCCAGTTAGGGTCTTGGAGGACCCAGGGGCACCAATGTGGCCCCCACACTGGGACATACCAGAGGAGGTAGGGCTCTCCTTGAAGGGTCTGTCTGGCCAAAGCCAGGCTCTTCACGTCCTCAGCCCCTCCTCCCTTCTTTCCCTGAAGCCAGCTTCTACCAGTGTCCCAGCTGTCCCTCAAAACTGCAGAAACTTCCTGGTGCTGGTAGGGGCATTTAGTTGCTCCTACCTTATCCAGGGAGGTCAAAGGGCAGAGAGAGGCACCTTCCTTTCCCCCTCCCTAGCTTCCCTGACACTGCCCCAAGGCTCCTGCTGGGGGCCCAACAGTCCTGGGCTGGGGACACTAGGAAGGAGGGGACTTGCCCACTGTCAGAAGTTCGGTTCTCTGGTCCAGGCATGAAAGAATCCCAGCCCGGACTACCAGCCCCTGGAGGTGGGGCATAAGGAGAAAAGGCATTTTCGAGGGATCAGTTTAATAGCTGTACACCAGGGCTCCCAGCGTCCCCGCCTCACTCTGTTGGAGACCCTCGACCTTTGGGAGTCCCAGCCCACCCAAGGCTCTCAGACAAGGGACAGAGCACGGTTGGTCCAACTCCTACCCATCCCTCCCGGGATTCCACAGCCCCCCTCGCTCCTGGCACCTGCTGCAGTACTGACCTTGTGCCGGAATTCCCGGGCCACCTTCCGGTCCATGGCTGAGCCTGATGCAGCCCCGTCGCAGCCCGACCTGCTGCTCCCAGTGCCTGGCGGAGGTGCAGATCCACTGCTCGCCCCGGTGGCCCCGCCTCCCCTGGGACTAGGGGCGGGGCCTGAGGGTGGCCGGGAAGGGCTGGAGGGCAGAGGAAGCCTCCGGTCCTGAAGCCTAGCCTCCCGCAGAAGCCTTGGAAGGAAAGAGCTCCTGTGTGATGTGCTGGATTGAGGTGGTGTGGTTGCTGCGGTGGCGTCCTCTGGGAGTGATGCACACGTGGTTGAGACAGTGGGTCGTGCAGACATGGGGAGGAAGTTTGGGACTTTTTTTTTTCTTTTTGAGACAGGGTCTCATGGAATCCAGGCTGACCTTGAACTCACTATGTAGCCAAGGATGATCTTGAATTCCTTGATCCTCCTGCCTCTACCTCCCTTGTGCTGAGATTACTAGTATGGTCCACCACGCCCGATTGAGGTTTGGGAATTTTATTTGTGGTGGCTGTGGTGTAGAGGTTCCTGATCTAGGTGGGCAGAGGTGGAGTAAACCAGCCAGCTTTCATCCAACACACCTGCAGAAACCAGGTGCCCTCGGACCCTGCACCAACAACCCCCCCCACCCCACCAACTAGGTACACATCTCACCTGCAGCTAGATTTCATCTTGCCTAGCCCTTTCCCACTAGGAAGAACTCCTGGGGGCCAGGCTGGATCTTGCTGTCCCCAAGGGCTTGAATCACTGGGAGTGCCCACTAGCTGACTTCCTTCACTGACTGCCCCAACAGATCAAAAAGAAACCCAGCACACACATTCACTGATACATGGTGGACCCTGTGGAGTTTGTGCCCGAACTTAACATGGAATAGGGTGCCTGGCCTCTTACATCAGGGCTAGGCAAGGAGATCAACAGTGGTCCAGATCACGTAGGCATTTACAGCTATAAGTTTAGAGACACCAAAGCTCTTCTCTAGATCCTTCTCCCAGTAGCCGAGGTTTAGCAAACAGGCTATTTTCCTGGGGGCTAAATTATTACCTAGATTGATATAAATTCTACCTGGAAAGAACTGGAAAATATAATTCACGTTCTCCCCTTCAGTTCCAGCTCCATTCTGTTGCTGTGAGAAAACACCCTGACCAAAAGCAGCTTAGGGAGGAAAGGGTTTATCTCATCTTACACTTCCGGGTCACTTACCACCATCAAGGAAAGGCAGGGCAGGGACTTGAAGCAGGAACCATGGAGGGTCGGGTCGCGGCTCACCGGCCTGCTCTCTAGCTTGTTCACTTCCAGGCTCATGGTCAGCTAGCTTTCTTATACAACCCAGGACCACCTAGGGATGGTGCCACCCACAGAGGGCTGGATCCTCCTACATCAACTAATAATCAAAACAATCCCCCACAGACATGCCCACAAGCCAATCTGATCTAGGAAATTCCTCAATCTGGCTTTCCTCTCAGATGACTCTAGGCTGCATCAAGCTGACAGTTAATGCTAACTAGGACTCCTTTCCTGTTAGCTAATTAAACCAGAGACTGAAGAGAAAGATGTGAGGTTTTTCAATGGTCCAGAAGAGACTGCTCATGATATAGTACTCCTCCGCTTTACATCTTTGATTTTCTGCATTTCTTAAATGTGTCATGTGGCTGTTGGGTACATATTTAGGACTCAGACAGATGAAAGACTGTCCTTACCCAGAAGAGTATAGTTTATAGTCACCCCACCTTCTTTTCTGTGACCCAGGTATTCTCCTTTTCAAAATGCTTCCCACTTGACTTCTGGGGCAGCACTGGGTCCTGGTTCTCTTTCCACGCATGTTCTTTCTGGAGCTTGCTGAGACCACCCTGTGCTCTGCAAAGCTCTGTCCGTGACCCTGCTCTTAGTTTTGCGGGGTCCTCAGATACCCTATGAGGCCAGCTTCCTGCCATACGCCTAGGGCACTGCGGGACACAAAACAGATGCTCAACGTGAGTGCGTCCTACCAAAGCACGCCCTACCCAGGGTCTGCTGGGGCCAGTTCTTCCTGGACAGAGACTGCTTGTTGTTCATAAAACCAAAGTTGTTGTCATCAGTCTGTCCTTGATAGGGGTGTTATGGGTGAACAAGGCAACGTTTCCTGAGCCAGCACCGGCATTGGGAGGACTAAGGCCTGGTCTTCCCAGTCTGTGCTCTCTGGGGATAGGATGGGGATTTGGGAGCCTGATGGAAGCAAGGGTGGGGAGTCATGGAACCACAGACCAGGATTCTGTAGGCCCTAGCCTTAGGTCCACCAAGTGCCACGTCCAGGCCTCAGTGTGGCCCTCTGTAGAAGGAGAGAGTGAGGCCAGACTCTACCAGCATCTCTGGTTCCTGGTGGAAGGGGTTTCCAGAATGCAGGTCAGTGAGAGTCTGTACAGGCTGCCTCCTGGTTCCCCTGGGCAATCCCTTGGGGATGGGTATCCACAGGCCAAGAAGGTCAGAGGCTGGGCCTGGTCCAGGCACCTAACTTATGGTAATGAGCTGGGCAGTCTTGTCACTCTAGCCTGAGGAGGAGCCACGCCTGGGAGGAGGGCCCCAGGGAGTGGCGGGGCTTGAGAGCCTGAAGAACTACATCTGCAAAGTGGAGGTGTAACCCACCTCAGAGTCAGACGCCTGCACTGGGTCTCTCCAAGCCCCAGTACCCTCATGGGAGCCCTGACCCCCACATTCTGCCTGCTCCTCATTTGTTTCTGTCTGTCCGGAGGCAAGTCAGATGTGGAGTCCCTGCAAGTGCAGAGCCAAGGTAACAGGGGCTGGGGGAAGGGTTACTGTATCAGGCCTGGGCAGGTTGGAGAAAGAGAGAAAGAGTCGGTCTAAGTGAGGGCAGAAGCCCAGAAGAGAAGCAGACACGGAAACAACCAGGCCTTGGTGGGTCCTAATTTAGGTGAGGAGACCAAGGTAGAGAATCAGAGAGTACTGGGACCCAAGGAATGGAAGGAAAGAGGGAGACCCCTGTCCCAGAAAGGTCCCCGGGAGCTGGACAAAAGACTTGAGAGGAGAGGAGACGAGGCAGAGAGGAGAGAGAGGAGTGGGGAGATGGGACAGGCTTCTAGCCCGAGGGGGACCTGATGTGGGAGTCCCCAGCAAAGGGATACTCAGCTGGAATGGAGACTAAAGCTCTTCCCCAGCCACAGCTCTCATGGGGAGTGCCAGTGCTGCACTGCACCAGGAACCAGCCCCTGGACCCAGGTAAGTCCAGCTATGCACTGTCCCCGCCTGCTGCCCCATCCCTATTCCTGGCACAAGTGACCCTGGGGGCTTGGGTTTTGGTGTGAGGAGACCTATAGCTATTCCTAGCTCCCTGCCCATGCCAGGCTTGTTTCTCACTCAGCCACAGCTACCAGGAGGTGACCCCTACCGTAAGAGATGTCACAGCAGTGATGGAAGGCCAGGTAAGAGATTTGTAAGGGAGAGAGCATCACTGGACAAAGAACTTCTTTCTGGGTATGAGGCTGCCAGGGGCTGAAAGGGTTACCAGAGGGCTGTCTTGGGAATTATTCAGAAGACGGAAGATCCCTGGTGTGTGTGTCTAACAAATCAGTGAAACACTTCCCATTTTCCTAGTTTCTTGGGTCCCTGTCCAGCTCAGTGTTTTTTAGGGGAGGTAAAAAAGGTCCTTTCAGAAGACAGCTGAGCTCCTCTCTACCCCCAAAGAAAGCAGGCAGGTGAGTGTTTGGGAGAGCAGAGTTCTCTTCCCTGTCTGGTATGCAAAGGCCCTGAAACCCTATCACAGGCTCCACTCCATACCCCTGCAGAGCTCCTGGAATGCTGCTCTGAATGGCAAGACACAAGCTGGGCCGCCTGCTGGAGGGTGCAAGGAAAGCTTGGTTAAAGAGCAGTACCGAAAGGATGATGGCACTGATGAATGACCCTTGAGGTTGTCCTCTGGCCTCCACATGCACACGTGCACATGCACCTGCACACACGTGGAGAGACACATGCACACACATGCACGCACAAACACACACAGAGGCCAAGAACCCCCGAAGAGCAATCCTTTGACTTCTGACCATCCCCTGGCCTCACCCTCCTGGATCCTCTGTGTTTGTGGGAGAGGCAGCAGGTCCATTTCTCCATTTGCCAAAGTCTGTTGGTCTCTGGATTGGGCACCTTGGCTTTTCTTTCTACTCAACATGCATTTGTCTCCTTGTACACAATACACATTCAGCCCCCAGCCCCAGGATATCCCTGAAAGCTTGACCCTCAGCTCCTGTGTCCAGCCCAGTGATCAGGTCTAGGTAGCCCTTGGGCTGGCAGGTTTGGGGGAAGTCATTTATACTAGAAACCAATGTCCCTGCTATCGTCCTTCAGAAACAGGCACAACACCCAGGGTGGGCTGCAGTGGTGGGCTTCCCCTCTACTGCTGGTTTTCCTTCTCATTGGCCTGCCCTTCCAGGCTCCAAGTTTCAGAACCACCTTCAGATACAGTTTAAGTTGAAATTCTTTTCCCAGATTGGGAAACCAACTTTCTGGAACCCAACAGTAAGCAGGTGGACTGCAGTCCTGGTGGAGACTAGTCTGCCCTTCTGCCAGTGCCCAGGGACCCCTGGGGGTGTCTGTGAATTTTCATGGGGATAGTGATTCTTACCCAAATCCCCCATTCCCAGTGGGCAGCATTCCTTCCTTGCTGATTTCCTGATTAGGCAGTCCCTCCCCTTTTTCTCAGAGAAGGGTCCTGAGCACTGGGACCAGGTCACTCAGGAAGATCTCTCATTTGTTCTGTTGAGCAAAAAGGACTGACTGTGGCCTTCTAAGGCGACCATGGACACTTTGAGGGCTCCTATTCAGAATGCTCTGATGGGTAAGGAAGTAGGGGTGGGTCCCAGGCAAGTAGGTAACCAACCTTCTTTTCTTTTTTTCTTTTTTAACTTTTATTATTTTTATTTTATGTGTATGCATGTATTGGCTGCAATTATCTAAGTGCCCCTGTGTTGAGCAGTGCTGGCAGTGGAGGACAGAAGAGGGTGTTGGATCCCCTAAAACTGTAGTTACAGACAGTTGTTAGCTGCCGAGTGAGTTCTGGCATTCAAACCTGGGTCCTCTGCAAGAACAGTCAGTGCTCTTAACCGCTGAGCCATCTCTCCAGCCCCAACCAACCTTCTTTTGTCAAGGGTGCCTACTCTACATAGCCCAGCCATTTCCCACAGGATCCATGGGCCTTGCCAGAGGGCCGTGAACTTGGATGGGGAGAAAAAATCATTGCCATTTCAGAAACAAGTGAAATGTAGCTTGCCTTTCAAATATTACTACTGTAATCTTAGGAGGCCAGCAGTGTCTGTCACCAGTAGAAGTCAGAGCATTCCTACCACCTACAAATACCTTTTATTGTTTGCTACTCTTACAGAGATTTGGCAGTGATAAGGCCCATTCATAGGTATTATTTCCTGTATTAATAAAGAAGCACCAGTCTGGGGCTGACTGGAGAGATTTCTCAGTGCTTAGGAACACTTACTGCTCTTCCAGAAGATTCAAATTTGGTTCCCACAAACCATGTCGGGCAGCTCACAGCTGCCTATAACTTCAGCTCCAGGAGCGTCTGTCTCCTCTGGCCTCTGCACACCCTACTACCCTCCCTCACATATATATATATAATTTTAAATATGTTTTGTTTTGGGTGTTTTTTTCTTTGAGACAGGGTCTCCTTATAGCCCCAGCTGGCCTGGAACTTTCTATATAGATTAGGTTGACCTCGATCTCACAGAGATCTGCCTGTGTCTGCCTCTAGAGTGCTGGGATTAAAGGTATACAAGCCTAGCATAATTTTAATTTTTTAATTTAACAAAAAGAAGCACAAATCTTACTCAAGAACACTTCCATAAAATATTTTCATATTTACCTTGTGACATAATTGGTTTCCATTGCAATCTTGTGTTTTATTAACGCTCATCTGAGAAGGTGCCACCACAGGCTTCACTAGATTGTCAAAAGGGTTTGATTGGTCCTGAAGACTAATCTTTTGGATGGGGTTTAAAAAATTCTCCAAGTAAAAGGTGGTGACGTACCCCTTCAATCCTAGCACTTGGGAGTGGCGGCAGGAGGACCAGGAGTACAAGATTCTCTTTGGTTAACTATAAATAAAATAAAGATTTCTTCTCCAGAAAATTGCTTTGGTGCTTTGCAGCCCGGCCTGTCTTCTGCTCATAACAAAGTCCAGAAGCCACATCTGAGGTGGCACGTGGTACAGCCATGCAAAGGCCAAGCTTAGTTAAGGGCTGTCCGGGTGGCAGTTGTCCCCACACTCCTTCCCCATTACCCTGGGGCTCTGCCCCAAGGATTGCTATGAGGGTAGGACACCTGGCTCCTCAGACTGGGCCTAGGTATGAATTCTGGTAAAATCCCAGCAACCAGGGACCAAAGTGGGATGAGACCACAGAAACCTGGCAAAGGCAGGACCAGGGAGCTCTCAGGAGGAGAGGGGGCAGTGTGAGCATCAGGTGACCAGGCAGAGAGACTTCACCTGCCAAGGAGGGGTGCAAGCTTGGCTGGTCCCCAGGTAGAGACATCTGAACACTGCTTGTGTTCCGAGGCCTCTGCTGGTAGCTGGACTTTGGCCTGAGCCTATAGAGATGTTAGGAAACGAGACAGGAGACCAATACCCCAGTACTCAGCCCACATTGCTCTCTGTTCCTAAAAGGAAGCTCAAGCTCTGGATGCTGTGGCCATTTCTTCCTGGGAAAGGCGGCTCCACCGGGCCAAGTGTGCACCATCTTGTAAGTGGAACCCTCCCTATAGTCTATGTGTAGGAGAGTCTCGCCTACGGGGAGGAACTGGGAGGACAGACAGGGACTTCCCTAGGACTCCCCTAGGGCCCTTTCCCACCTGGAGTCTCTTCCTACCTTCCCCAGCTTGGCCTACAGGGCTTCTCCAAATGGCCTAGGCTTCCCTATGCTGTCTAATTCATGAGACTCTGCTTCCTGACAATGGCTGTCCCTTCACTCCCACCTCACACTCTTTCTGGACCACTTCCTACTTCCTGTGGCATGACCCTTCATCATGTTTTCTGTGGTCTCTCCCCTCACCTGTCCTGAGTCTATGGACTTTGCACTCCCTCCCTTGGGCCTGTGCCCTGGTCGCCTGTCCTGTGTCTGTGCCTACCAGCCCCTATCAGTCCTGTACTTGTGTCCTGCCCATGGCTCCTTCTCTCACCATGTTCCATTCTACTTTATACACTCCTTGTCCATGGCCATTCTCTACTGTGTTCTGCACACGAGGCCTCACACCCATCCCAATTTGCACTTTGGCCCTTTCTTCTGGCCTAATGAATAGTGGACTGCATGAGGCTTTGGGGGCAGGCTCCCTGCTCCCCTGAAAGGCTCCATATTCTCAGTTCTACCGTCTTGCCTCTTAGCCAGGAGTTTAGGGAATTGAAGTTCCAGGTCAGGTGACTTTTGAACTGCTTCCTGGGTACTAAAGGCTCAGCTCTAAGACCCAACCCTGAGTCCTGCTGGGAAAGGGGTTATGCTATGGTACTAGGCACCCTGTGTGGCCTCTGTTCAGGCTAGCTGTTGAAGAACAGGGTGGCTGCCTGGGACAGGGGCTCCTCTCCTATTCAGCCTGAGAGTGCTGGGACCTGATGCGTGTTGGGAGGAGATATGCATCTGGGTTCTGCTGTGGCTCAGTGGGGAAATGACTCTGTACCTCTCTTGCAGATCTGTTCTCCTGCTTCAATGGGGGCGAGTGTGTGCATCCAGCTTTCTGTGACTGCAGACGCTTTAATGCCACTGGACCTCGATGCCAGTTGGGTGGGTCTGATCTCCTCTCCACTCCCAGGAGGGGCCATGGGTGCAGAGACACCATGGACCCAAGGCCTGGGAATGGTGCTATGCCTGGGGAATGGGGGTGGCCTTGGCAGAGCTGGAACCAACCAGCCTCCAGAATAGTGCCCATGCACATCTAGACTCACTTTGCCCTGTCTCAGTGTACAACACTGGCCCTGAGCGAGACAGCATCTGCCGGGCCTGGGGGCTGCACCACGTGGAGACTTTTGATGGCCTCTACTACTACCTCTCTGGGAAGGGCAGCTACACACTAGTGGGACACCATGAACCCGAAGGGCGGAGCTTCTCCATACAGGTAAGGCCTCCTCTCTCCTTCCCTGCTGGTTCATACAGGCTCCACTAGGTGTCCCAGAGAGGCTGGAACCTTCCTTTCCTACCACCCCCAGCTCCTGCCCAAGGACTATGCTCCTGGAAGGGGCTACAAGCTCTAGGATCCTGCTTACTGACTCAGCCCTGGTTGCCTCTGGCCATTTGTTCTAGTTAGGCACACATCCGTCAGCTGTTGAAGTATGCACTGTACTCTCATTCTGAGCACAAAGTTTTGTACTGGGAGGCCCTGAGGACGAAAACACGGATGTGATGTTTGTCCTGAAGGACCCTCCATTTAGTGGAGCAATCATTCAAATGACGTGAGTTATTTCAAGTGCAACTGGAGGCTGCCGTGGTGAAATGTCAAAAGCTAAAAACCATGTCATGGAAACGAATCCAGTCTACTGGGAAGGATGGTGATTAGAGAAGGCTTCCTATGGGAAGTGATGTTCATTGGAATAGAAAAGAGAAATCATCAGAGTTAGCCAAGCAAAGAGAAGCAGGGGTTGGGACAGGTATGAAGTCCTGGGTGGCCCTGTGTACCGTTCCCTCCTCCAAGGGGCCTTCCTATGTCTTCTGACCTAAGGAGCGAAGGACTTCCTCTCTGGGTAAACAGACCCAGCCTCTACAGGTGTTTTATAGGGACTGTTTCTTGGCTAGTCTCCTTTTCCAGTTGGAAGTCTGGACCAGGCCATGTCTTTAAGCTTGATATTCCCAGTACCTGGATGAGTGCTTGGTAAAAGCTTATCAAACTCAGGGGTGCCATGTGAGACTCAGTGTCCAGCAGATCTGATTGACATGTCTTACCTGTGAGTTGTATGGGGCATTGCCTTCAAGCGCAGCAGTCCTCCTCCACCTGCAGGAGCACCTCCCTGAGGAGGTAGCTGTGCTGGAGAGCACCGCGGTCAGTTTTGAGTTGCAGTGGAGGGGATGAGGTTAGGGAGATCCTAGTGCTCAGGGTCATCCCTCTCCCAACGGCTATAATCCTTATGCCCCAGACATAGACTTACCATAAGGCTGCACCAGAGGCCATGCCCTAGATGTCTAGGACCATGACCAGTGTCACCCTCTGTGCCTCAGACTAGCATACATTGGAGTTTGTTCCCTATGCCATTTAACTACAGATATGTTAGTTATATAGACTGATGAGGTGCCACACATTAGTGAGGTATGAAATCAGCTTAAAGAATCATGCTTGACATCACAAAGGAAGAAAAAAAAAAGATAGTATATGTGTGATATTAATTCTGATTAATATGAAGATTTTTAAAGGATTTAAAAAGAACATATATACACATATATATGTTTCTTACTGTGAGTCATGGTCAAAAATACTTGAAAAACATTTACTTAGGTCATGGGTGGCTTTCAAAGGTCCCTCTTTCAATCGAAGAGTCTCCAGCTTAGTGGATCATATCTAAGGATAATCCAGTAGAAGACTGGATCCTTACGAGTATTCCCACCCTCAACAGGAGGCACTTGAGAACATTTTCCCTGAGCTCTGGGAACCTGCCTGACTTTCTGGATCTACAGCCTTTAAAGTATGGGCTCTGCTTGAATGTGGGCAGAGAAGATGTATTTGTAGCAAGCAACATGGGGAATATATGCATCTATGTGCACAAGACAGAGCTGGTCTGCATGCAGAGTCGGGGGGGGGACAGAGTGTGTGCAGCAGGTCTGTGCACATGTGTATCTGGATATGCACATCTCTGTGAGATCGTAGAAGGGAATATTTTGGCTTTTAATCTGATGGAACAGTTCATAAACATGAAGATGCCCCAATGGTCTATAAAAAACTCTGGAATCCAAGCCATCAAGACCTGGATCAGAATCCTCTTTGCTATTCCCTAGTTGTGAGTACATGTCACCTTAGTTCCTGCTCTCTGAGCACCAGACAATGATAATCACAGACAACTGTAGCCCCAAGCCTGCTGTGGTGCTGGGGGGCTGGGAGAGGTTGCAGAGGAGAGGAGCTCAGCACACAGGAGCCACTCAATCATCCTGAATTCATGGAGGGTCAACACAGCATGAAGCTCAGGGTGACCTGTGGCAGCTCCTGCAGACTACCTTCTGAACCCCAATCAGGTGCACAATGACCCGCAGTGTGACTCCGCCCACTACACCTGCTCCAGGTCTGTCAGCCTCTTCCTTTCTGGTGAACAGGAGATCCATCTGGCCAAGGAGGTCACCCACGGGGGTGTGAGGTAATATGGCACTTCACCTCCCCGACGTGGGCAGGGACATCTGACCCTGTCAAGTCCAGGGCAGACAGCACTCTTTACATTTGGGCAAAGCCAGCTGGTGTCTGGCCAGTGGTGCTAACTGAAGGATGAATTCCTCCTAATTTTCTGGAACTCTCAGATCTGGTGGGTTTCCAGGTAGAAGATTTTTTTAAAAAATAGAATTTCCTAGAGCACTGAGAGTTTCCCAGGATAAACACACTTAAGTTTTCCCCTTCTCAAATTGCGGAAATCGTTCCTCTGAGCTCACGTAGAGTTCCTGCCTCGTCTACCAGACACTTGCACACCTTCATCCTTTCCTGAGGACAGAAGATCATTTTTGAAGGACAGATTTCTTGCTGGGCCATTAGAGATGTTTGGGAACCACCTAAGGGGCAACGACTCTGTTCCCACATCATTTGGCCCCAGAGTGAGGCCCTGTCTGAGTCTCCTGTCATCTCTGACCCGAGGCTCTTTCCTTCCTTGCTGTCTTCTGGCTCAGGTTGCTGCCAGAGGAGCTTTTCCTGTAGTGTTGAGAATAAGGCTGAGGCCCAAGGTCGTCTGTGAAGGAAGGGTCAGTGTTCAGATCTGTAGCTGGTTAGATACTACTTTCGTTTCTTTTTCCTGATTGTTAGCTGGGATAACAGCAGACAAAATCCAGACTGTCAAGGAGTTCCTGGAACAGCAAAACTGGGAAGTGGCAGGAGTACGGCAGGCCTCTCTGCTCTCAAACTCCTAGCTCTCCTCTCTCCCCTCTCCCCTCTGTTCCGGTACTACACCAACACAGTAAAACAGAGGCTGCTTATATGATACGTCTCTCTCCCTCCCGTCTGAGAGAGGAGCTGTTAGCGTCAGTCACTCAAAGCCTTATCCGTGCTGGGGACACTGCAATTTGGAAACTCTGAAGATAAAATAATCCTGGTGTACTTCTGTGCCCTTGGGATTTCTGGAAACTTAGAGGACGGGAATGTGGACACCTCTGATCACTGGGTAGGGGGTGAAGGACAGGGTCTGTGAGGGTGGTGTGGACACCCTGAATCATTAGGCTTTCTTCACAGGGTTCAGCTGCCACAGGTGATGGGGGGAGTTCAGCTGCAGCAGCTGGCAGGCTACGTCATCGCTCGATATCAGTCAGCCTTCACGGTGACCTGGGATGGTGCCTCAGCTGTCTACATCAAGATGAGCCCAGAGTTCCTGGGCTGGACTCATGGTCTATGTGGGAACAACAATGCTGACCCCCAGGACGACCTGGTGACCAGCTACGGTGAGTCCAAGGGAAGACAGCCCCTGAGAGGTTCGAGTGGGAATGGGACTGAGATAGAATGGGCAGGGTCAAAGGGGACTCGGACCAGACCTGTAAGGCCACGCCGTGGTAGTAAAAACCCAACGGGAGGCCAGAGCTCACTTTCAAAACTCTGTCATGTTAGGGATGTTCTCAAACACTCTAGGTCTCAGTTTTCTCATCTGTAAAGTAGTCACAAGGAGAATTCCAACTAGGGTTGTGTGTAGATCTAATCACACTTTGCCAAGTATCCTTGAGCCCACAGATGGCAGGAGGAAGAGGGGAACAGACGGCCAGAGAGAGCCAGGAAGAGAAAGGGCTGGGCTGGAGCCGAAGGCTCTGAGGGAGTGGTGAGTGGTATCGAGGGAGTGGTACTGAGGGAGTGGTGAGTTGGCTGGAAGCTCAACGGGGGACCTCTTGAGTACCCACTGTGTACTAAGCATATGATTGCAGTAGTTCTCGGTGATTCGCTCCATGGGGATTATTTCCCCTTTCTGCACATGGGGAAACTGAGGCTGAGATCAGTGCAGGAGCTTGTTCAAGCTTGCACACCACACTGTCGATGGCATGGTGTTGCCTGTGTTGAGTTTGGAGCAGTCGGGATCCAGTACAATCTTTCTTGTCCAGTTTTCCCAAGGAATGGCTCAGCTGGGAAACCAAAGTAGGATGGAAACTCTGAAGACTGGGTTTTTCCAAACGCCTTTCCCTTGACACCTGCCTCTGCACAGAGCCCTCAGCCCTCCTACCCATCCCCTTGTTAACAACACTAGTTCTCCCTGCAGGGAAGCCGACTGATGATGTGGCAGAGTTTGTGCACAGCTGGCAAGAGCAGGTCCCCAACCACCCTCCAGGGCCTGTGGCTTCCTCCCTTCCTCGACCACCGTGCCTGCAGCAGAGCCCGGCATCCATGCAGGTCTGGGCCCTGAGGAAAGTCCCACCACCCTCGTGGAAAGCTATTGGTTGAAGGGACCCAGGGTGGCTGGTACCCATGGCCCCTTCCACCCTCTTCTTCCTTTTCTTCTGGCTCAAGTTGGGGTTTGCTGTGGGACTGGTGAAGTTGGAGAGCTGTGCATGCTCTTGCCGTCCTCCTGGCCCCAGATCCTGCCTCTGTGCCACCAGGGTGTTTACCAGCGGTGTGAGACACTGTTGAGGCCCCCCTTTGATGCCTGCCATGCCTACGTCAGCCCTCTGCCCTTCACAGCCAGTTGTACCAGTGACCTTTGCCAGTGAGTGGGCAGCTAGGAGGTGGGTGGTACTGGGTTGTGGGGCGTCCCTCCCAATATTAGGGTGAAGGCTCAGTGGGCACTGAGCCTAATAATACCAGGCACGGGCAGAGCTGCTCCCCTAAGTTCTGAAATCCTCATCTATGAGATAGGACATGACTGTGTCTGTTCAGCTAAGGCCTGGAGGCAGGGCCCATCTACCTCAGGGTCACACAGCAATGCCAGGACTATACTAGGCTTCCTGCTTTGAGTCTAGGGATCTGTGTAATTAGATGTCTTCCCAGAGGACGGTGCCCTGAAGCCCTGAGTTTCTAGGGGATGCTTAAGGACTGGTGGCACTCTGGACCTTCTTCCAATGTGATCATCAATTTTCTTGTACAGATCAGGAGGTGATGAAGCCACCTGGTGCCGAGCACTGACAGAATATGCCCGGGCATGTGCACAGGCAGGGCGCCCCCTGCAGGGTTGGAGGACCCAGCTCCCACAGTGCAGTAGGTGCAGGCTGGAGGTGGGCAGGGAGGGTTTCAGATGAGCTCTGATGTGTGCGGTGGGTGGTATCCACAGGCCTCAGCTCAGTGTTCTGTCCTGCTCAGAGCCACAGCTGCCAGAGCTTTAAGCCTGAGGTTCTATCCTTGTGACAGATGGGAGATCTAAAGCTGAACAGGAGGGATGGATCTGGGGCCCCAGAGTGAAATGAAGGAGGTTCTCAGAGTGTCCCAGCCCCTCGCCAGTATCCTGGGCACCCCTGGGGCTGGAGGACCAGAAAAAGGACAGTCCTCCAGTTCCCATCTCAAGCCCTGGGGTGAGGGTGGATCCTGGCCCAGAAGACAGACCACAACTTCCTCCCTTCCCAAGCTACACACTGCAAAGAGAAGGCCTTTACCTTCAATGAGTGCATTACCTGCTGCCCCCCCTCCTGCCAGTCCCGGGCTTCCTGTGTGGACAGCGAGATCGCCTGTGTGGACGGCTGCTACTGTCCCGACGGTATGCTAGGGGAGGAGTAGGGGCCTGGCAACATCTCCCTGACCTGGCAGATGAGCATGATCAGGTCTCAGAGGATGCCTGTTTGTAGAATGAATGAAGGAGCTAAGTAAATAAGTGATTGAATGGCTTAAGGGAGGTAAAGGTGGGGGCAGAGCTTGGCTTCTTGAATTGAAGCCAAGGGGGCATTTGAGCTCACTGAGACATGTAGATGAAGATAGCGTTTTTGTTCATTTATATACACATTTATTTAATCATTCACACAGTTGCCTTATCCTGTGTCTCATGACACGTACATTTGTAGCATGTCTATAATGTGTAACTTATATGGCTGGATGGAGGGGTGAGATTAAAAAATGTAAAGCTTGGACTTGGGGGGCAGCTTAGTTCGTAGAGTGCTTGCCTCACAAGCACAAAGCCCTAGGTTCCAACCCAGTCCCAAATAAACTGGGTATGGCAGTGCACAACTCTAACACTAGCACATAGGAGACAGAAGCAGGAGGATTAGAAGTTCAAGGTCATCCTTGGTTATACGTAGAGCTCAAGGCCAGCCTGGTCTACATGAGACCCTGTCTCAAAGAATATAAAGCTACAGGCTTTGATTTTAAGGTTCATAATCTGATTTCAGGGACATGCCATATCTAACTCTAGCCTAAGGTATGATGTGATGAAGGCTAACTCAGAGAAGAGATACAGGAATTCACAACATGTGGAGAGGGAGACCAGGGGAAATTTTCTTGGAGGAGGTGGTACCAAGGCTGGTTCTAGATGCATGACAGGTTTGGGGTGATCTACAAGAGTAAAGGTCTGCCTAGAAGGGGTTCGTGTCCTGCCTAAGAAAGGGATTTAGAGGAGAGAGTTTGAATGTGGGTTCAGAGGAGAAAGATCTTCATAAGAGAATCTTTATCTTGGGCCCTGGGAAGCCACCAATGGCTTATGAACAGAAGCAGTGGTAAGTGTTTCCTGTCTCATGCTAGGGCTGATCTTTGAGGACGGGAGCTGTGTGTCACCAGCTGAGTGTCCCTGTGAGTTTCATGGGACCCTGCATCTGCCCGGCTCAGTGGTGACAGAGGACTGCAAGGCCTGGTCTGTGTCCACTGCCTGAAGGGAGGGGTTGGGGAAGACAGGGCTGTCCACATGGGGTTGAGGAGCCCTGAGGGAACAGGATCACTCACTCAGCCTCTGTGAGTCCCAAGGGATTTAATTAGATCCCTGAAGGGTGGAGAACTTTTTGCCACCTGTTTTGGAGATGAGAAGATGGAAGTTTGGGGCTGGGTATAGTCTCCTGGCATCGAGGCCAGGCCTGGAAGGTAACCTGGCCCTTGGTCTCTGTGTTCTAGCACCTGCACTGCGGGCAAGTGGGTGTGCAGCTCTTCTGTCTGTCCAGGTACATCAGACCCTCACCTCGAATCCTGTCCTCTTCTACTAGCCTCATGGATTTGGGGGCAGGGATTGTCCAGGGCCAGGCCTGCTGGGGGCACTTGGTTCCCCTGGTTTAGCTTGCCTCCCTTTGATTTCTTTGGTCATTTGGCCTGCCTAAGGGTTTGCTCTGGCCCATGCCAAGAGTGGCTTTACATGGGCTCTGTATATCTCTGCCTGAACTTGGAGGATTCTACCCAGATTCATCCCATGCCCGGGAGCTGGGTTCCCCTCAGGGAGACCAAGCAGACCTGTTTCTGTCTTCAGATAGAGTACTGGGGAGGCCTGAGTCTGCCCCAAGCAGGGCTCTGAGAGAGAGGGCGCCCTACCCTACTGATTCCGTTAGGCATCATAATGTTAGGCTTGGGTCTACAGGACTGAGACAATCCCCAGGCATCGATTCCCATGGGTCAATGGCCTTCTTCTCTCTCAGCTGAGTGCTCAGTGACTGGTGACATCCACTTCACGACCTTTGATGGCCGCCGGTACACATTCCCTGCCACATGTCAATATATCCTGGCCAAGAGCCGCTCCTCGGGCACCTTCACTGTGACACTGCAGAATGCCCCGTGTGGCCTGGTAAGGCTGGGCTCCATGTCCAAACCACGCCCCTGAAGGACTGGTAACCTGGAAAGGACTCCAGGTCTTCCCATGACCCAGCTGCCTGCTCTGGGTGGAGCTGGCTCAGAACACTGGCTCTGCTGGCTGTGACTCCCTTCCCTTTCCAGGGCTTTATTGTTTTAAAGAGAAATCTCTAGAATGGGCCTAACTCTGTTTAGACGTCTGTGCTTCATTGGATTTTATTTTCTGCATATCTGGAAGGCACATTTGATTGATTGATTGAGTCATTCATTCATTCATTCATTCATTCATCAAATACTGAAAACCTGTTGTGTGTGAAGCTATGCTGTGTCTTGGAGATCGCTCTGCCCTTCAGGCCCTTACAGCTTGGTAGGCCAGGCAGGCGAGTGAACCCATGACCCCCGTCACAACAGCTGTGAGAGTATGGATAAGCAGGGTGGCCTGGTGGGTCTTGAGGAGGACTTTTTCATTCTGTTTCTTTTTCTTTTTTAAGTTTATTTATTTATTTTTATTCTGTGTGTATGCGTGTATTGCCTGCATGTAGGTAAGTGCACCTGTGTCGTGCAATGCCCATGGAAGTCAGAAGAGGCTGTCGGATCCCCTGGGACTGGAGTTATGGACAGTTGTTAGCTGCCATATGGGTGCTGGGATTTGAACCTGGATCTTCTGCAAGAACAACCAGTGTTCTTAACCTCTGAGCCATCTCTCCAGCCCCTCGTTCTATTTCTTTAACCTGTGCACTGAGTAACAGGGGTAAGAGAATCAGGCATGTCTTCCTGGAGGAGGTGACTCCTGAGCTGTGCCAGCCACCTGTCAACATAACTGAAACAACAGCCAACCTGCAGGTCTGAGCAGGTATGGGTTTGTCTGTCCTAGTGGTGACTGCATCGTCCCTGAGCTGACTGTGCTAAGCCAACCCCAGTCCTGGTCTCACTGCCAGCCAGGGTGGCTGCCCTCAGCCAGAGTGCCCACTGCAGCCTGCCCGCCTGGCAGCCTTGTTCCAGGCCCAGCCATTAGGGCCTTGAACGTGAGCAGCAGATGTCAGCTAGAGGTGGCCTTCTCTGGCCCTGGGGACACAGGCTGGACTGCGGATGAGGTAGAGGCTAGCTTTCTTCTTTTGCCCTGACTCACCCCTTTCTTCTTTCTGTAAGAGAAGGCTCTGGCCTCTTCTTGGCTACTGTCTGTGTGGGTGACTTGTCCTCAAGGTAGGGTAACTTCTGTGACCTCTTGATGGTGGAAAAGGAGAGGAAGGGCAGACAGACGCAGTGCAGCTCTGACTGCTTCTATCCATGAGCTCTGGAGTCTTAGAGCACCTAAGGGCTGTGGAGCCTCAGGGTGCCTTGCTTAGTGCTTTTTTACTATGTTTCTGTTAGGTGAGTGGCCAGGCTGGGCCTGAGGTGACCAGCCTCACCACTGGACAGCTATTTTATTATTGTTGTTATTATTATTATTATTATTCATTGTGTGTGTGTGTGTGTGTGTGTGTGTGTGTGTGTGTGTGTAGGATGTGCCTCTGTGCCATAGCATTCATGAGGAGGTCAGAGGATAGCTTGTGGAAGTCAGTCCTCTCCTTCCACCATGTGGGTTCTAACTCAGGTCATCAGGCTGGGCAGCAAGCCCATTTCCTAATGAGCCATCTGGCCAGCCCAACAGCACTTCTTTTTTAAAATATATTTTTTTTATTTATTTTTATTTTGTGTACATGAGTGCATTCCTGCATGTATGTAAATGTACCTGTGTCATGCAATGCCCATGGAGGTCAGAGAGGGCACCGAATTCCCCTGGAACTGGAGTTATGGACAGATGTTAGCTGTCATGTAGATGCAGGGAATTGAAGCTGGGTCCTTTGAAAGAACAGCCAGTGCTCTTAACCACTGAGCCACCTCTCCAGCCCCTACCCACAACACTTAAAAAAATATTTTTGGATTGATTGAGTCTTCTTTTATGTGTATGAGTGTTTTGCTTGCATGTATATAAGTGCACTCAGGTCGTGCAGTGAAAACAGAGACCAGAAGAGGCCGTGGGATCCCCTGGAATTGGAGTTATGGATGGTTGTTAGCCTCCATGTGGGTGTGGGGAACTGAACTTGGGCCCTCTGCAAGAGCAGCCAGTGCTCCTAACCACTGAGCCACTTCTCCAGCCCCTTAACAGCACGTCTTAATTGCAGGTTCTTTCTGCCTCAAGCCAGGGCTCCTCCTGGCAATTCCATCCACACAACGAACTGTGGAGGTCCCACCCGGTGCTAGCTCTGTGCTGGGTACAGCAAGGGCTACACAGGTGACTCTCACCTGACCCACTTGCAGGTGCTCACAGCATGCATGAGATACAACATGATCAGAGACATCAAGGGGAGTGGGGTGGAGGAAGACATAGTCCTGAACATCTTCAGAAAAGAAGAGAAAGTCCCATGGTAGAGGTGGCATTACAGAGACAAGGAGGACAGACAACATGAGAGTTGATCAGGCCAGAAAAGCAAGAGGCTGCAATGACCAGGATGGGGTGGGTTGAGCTCAGAGGCAGGCGTTGGTGATGCCCATGACACATTTGCTCAGCGCTCTGAACACTGACTAATCATCTTCTCTACAACAGGTAGTCTAGATAGGCACCAATGTGCTATACATCGCTATCCTTACCATTTCAGATTTGATGGATTATGTCTTCACAAGCTTGGGGCATTCTTGACAACCCAAAGTTATGTCTGACTCCAAGGCTGGATATTGTTAGAGTCCTGACACACCCGCCTCAGATGTAGTGGCATGTTTATAGTCTTCAAAGAGTTTTAAAAATCAACTTTATATCTTAGAATGGCTTTAAGGCCTTTTAGAATTCTTGCAAAGATAGGGCATGATTCCTACACATCCCAGTTTCCCATCTTACATTAGCATGGTATATTTCTTACAAGTAACTAACCGTTATCGATGTGTTGTTATTAACTAAAGCCTGCGGCTTACTCAAATTTCTTTGGTTTTCACCCAATGTCATTTTACCATGTATGTCAGACTCATATTATTGGCTGTTGGTTTCTTAGACTTTCATTGTTTAGGATGACCTTGAAAGCTTTGTGAAGCCCTACTCAGGCATTTTGTAGAAGTCTCTCTTGGAGTTTGTCTGGTATTTTGTCTCATGGCTAGACTTAGCTATAGGTTCAGGGAGGAAGCTCACAGAGGTTAAGTGCCCTTTCCATCAGCCTGTCAAGGACAAATGCTAGCAACGTGGTTTATCACTGTTGATGTTGACCGAGGTGGTGTCTGCCAGGTGTCCACTGTAATCCTCTCCCCTTCATCCTTTCCATATCGTCCTTTGGAAGTCGCCACATGCAGCCCTCATAGAAAGCGTGGGTAGTTAGTCTCCTTGTCCACGAAGATGAAAAATCAGCGTAAGTTATTTGGAAATTCTCTCTTCCCTCTCGTTTGTTTATCTCATCTTTTATTTGTATCAGCATATATTTATGAAGATATACTTTATATTTGAGGTGGCATTTCTAATTTTGTCACTCAAACTGCTTCAGATTTGGCCACTGGAGATTTTTCAGTTGGCTCCTGTGTCCATTTAACATATTCACATCATGTGTGTGAGCACATGCTCACCTACACACATCTTTATTTCTGACACTATATGTGCCATGCTTATCCTGTACCATTACTGGTATCATATATTACTGCAGAAAATTATCAAACTTTCCTGGTTATGCTACTGAAGGCTGGCATTAGAAACCAAGAGCACTGGGTACATGAACTGCCTCTGGAGCACCGTTTCTTTTTGGCCCTCTAAGTTGCATAACCAATAAATAGCCTCATGTCTGTAAGTATTTCTGATTTATCACCACCTGCACTGGTGAAATATAGAAATATATCTGGAATAGAAAGTCAGCTAAACCAGCATTCATACTGATGTTCCAACTCCAATCCACACCACATGGATCATTCTAGCCTGCCCCATATGCTCATCTGTAAATGACGCCCCAGCCCTCCATGTACCATCCATGGCTCATTGGTTCAATTCAAATATGCATGCAGACACATACCAGTAAGCATCCCTTAAGTACATGAGAAATTGCTTTATTCCTAGTCTACAGTACTTGGGCACAGTTCCTTTCACCTTGAGTCTTACCAATTTATTTCCAGAGTTACTGAGGTCAACATCTTTGACCACCTTCATTGAAGTTGTTTTATATATATGTATGTATGTATATATATATATATGTCCAGAGTGGACAAAGAAGGTAGTATTTTAAATGCAGCAACTTTGAGCTGTTTCAGGGCTTTCTGCATAGTATCTTTCTGGAATGTTTCAAGCTGTAATTCCCCATGTTACTCTGATTAAATGTTGCCCCCCTGTCATACTTTTTCTAGTCTGTTATAATTAGCATCAAGCCCCAAAATATTACAAGGCTCTGCTCTGCCTAAGCTATCCCTGCCTACCCCCTGAACCTTTGCTTAAATGCACTATACAGTTTCCTGTGTGGGTACTTATGCAGAGAGCATTCCCTTGCTAAGGATTCCTTGATCTGGTGTCTATATATCCTATAATCAGAGCTCAAATGTTACTTAAAATTTTTTTTCACTTTAAGCTGGGTGTAGAAGTGTACACCTTTAATCCTAGCACCTGGGAGGCAGAGGCAGGCATATCTCTGTGAGATCAAGGCCAGCCAGGTCTACATAGTGAGTTCCAGGCCAGCTAGGGCTATAGGGAGGCCCTGTCTCAAAAAAAAAAAATCAGTTTAACACTGGGTTTTAATGTTCAAATCATTTTCAGCATTTGATTACGCTTTAATTTTTGTGTGCGTTTGTGTGTGTGTGTGTCTGTCTGTCTGTCTGTGTGTGCACACCTGAGTGTATGTCTGTGCACTATGTGTGGGCAGTAGCCTGTGGAGGTAAGACAAAGTTGATGGATCCCCTTGAGTTGGAGTAACAGGCAGTTGTGAACTGCCATGTGGGCGTTGGGAACCCAACGCAGGTCCTCTGCAGCAGCAGCAAGCACTCTTGACCACTGAACCATCTCTCCTGTCCCTCAAATATCACTTTTGTGTCTTAGTTTCTGATCTGCAAAGTGGTGCTCCTAACAACACTTAGAAGTCATGCTTAGACTAGGGATTAGGACTGGATCAGAAGTGCCATGAGGGCCAAGGGAATACAGCAGCTCCTGAATATCAGTATTAAAGTTAGTTGTTATTGTCAGAATAACCTGCAGTGTGAAGGCTTTGTTATTGTTACGTACCCGTCATTATTGTCATCATCCCCTGGATGGTCTTTCTTGCCTCTGCAGCCCAAGTTTGGTCTTTCTTGTACTTTCCTAGCACCTTAACCCTGCTCACAGCACCATCCCCATTATGGTCAATCCACTTTGTACTTTCTTATGTAATGCCTGTGTCCCACATGACGATATACTTCTTTGAGCACCGAGCATGAAGATTCTGTCTGCTTTGGTCATCACTCATCTATAAAGCTTGCATGTGGTAGACACTCAGGGAAGCTGAATGAAAGAGTGTGTGGATGTCTTCCTGTGGAGGGAAGGTATGAATGGGCCTAATATGTACTATACATTTCATAGATGGAGAACTTGAAGCTAGGTAATATTAGCTTACTTCCTACCCCTACCCCCACCTTTTGTGATGCTCGGATGGAACCGAGGGCCTCATATATGCTAAGTAAGTGCTTTACCATTGAGCTACGGCTCCGGTCCTTTTAACGTTTTGTTTTGAAGGGCTGGAGAGATGTCTCAGCACTGGATGCTCTTGTAGAAGACGCAGGTTCGAATCCCAGCACTCACATGGCGGCTAACAACCACCTGTAACTCCAGTTCCAGGGGATCTGATGCCCTCTTTTGGCCTCTGCAGGCATTGTACAACATGGATACACTTATAAACATGCAGGCATTACTCATACACATTAAATAAATACATCTACATTTTTTAAGGTAGAGTCTTGCTAACTGACTTAGGCTGGCTTTGAACTAACTGTAGCTCTGGCAGACCTTGAACTTGTAATCATCCTGCCTTAGCCTTCTGAGTAAGCCAAACTTCCCATCTTCCTTTCAGTAGAATACAGGATGTAACACATAGAGCCATATACAAGCTCTGGCAAAAGTATGAACTTCAAGTTCTATGTAGTAAGGTGGGGAAGGCCAGGGTTTCCAAGGCAAGACTCCATCCAGGCCATCTGCGCTGTGTCTTTAGACAACCTGAGAGTTAGCCATCATGGTTAGAGTTAGCCATCATGTTAATTAGTGTTATCCCAGCTGTGCCTCAAACCTTGTCCACTCTGAGCTTCTATTCCATCATCTTCCAAATGAGAACATTTAGTTCTACAACCCTTAATGTCCTTTTGAAGGGGTGGGGCAGTCTGTCGTTCCTCAAACTGGACAGGGCTCTTTCCCTGGTTGGTTCTGTTTAGGCCATCAGGATGGACAGAAGAGTCTAATGTTGCCCCATTGGCCCTTCTTTTACTCCAGAACCAGGATGGAGCCTGTGTCCAGTCAGTGTCAGTGATTCTGCACCAGGACCCTCGGAAGCAGGTGACCCTGACCCAGGCAGGGGATGTCCTTCTGTTTGACCAGTACAAGATCACCCCACCCTACACAGACGGTATGGATTGGGATGACCAAGAGGGCTAGTTGGGAGTTGGCAGTTCAGGCCTCTTTTCCCAGGCTACTCTGGTCAAAGGGAACTACTGTATGGGCATGACCTCAGATAGATCAAGTAGGGGACATTGGAGTCAGGAAAGGGAGCTCCTAAAATGGGTCTTTGTCCTCACTCCAACATGACAGAGGTCTTGTAGCAGTATGATGGTTTCTCCCAACATAAGCCCATGCATGGAGCTCTTTCCCATCTCTGGACTCAGTATTAGCCAACCCCATTCCTTGCTCCAAAAGGCAGTTATGGATAATTCATAGGAAACATGTTTAACAGAAAAGGCAAGCTACTAAGAAGATCCAGAGAGAGAGTGGAAGGAAAGAGAGAGGGAGCGTGATGAATAGGTATTCAAAGATTGAGAGGCGCAGGGCTGCACTGGGGATCGAAAGGCCATGGATATGCAAGCCACAAAGGTTGCCAAACTTAGATGATGGAAGTGGAGGCAAGAAGATCAGGAATTCAAGGTCATCCTCATCATCCTTGGGTATGTGGGGAGTTCAAAGTCCGCCCTACATGAGACCTTGCCTCAAAAAAAAAAAAAAAGAAAAAGAAGAAAAGAAAAGAAAAATTTGTCATTGAATCTTATCCACCATAATGGAATCTGTTATTGTACTGTGGGCTTCCTGGTGACCACTGTACAAAGAATGAGTAGTTATAGAATTTTTGTGGTGTGCTGGAACAAGAAACACCAGTTCCTCCAGGAGAGTAGAGTTGCTGTTGTGAGAGGCTGCCTGGTGGGTATCTCAGGGTCTCCTCAAGGACTGACAAACCAATCCCAAGACACAGATTTTCTGGGGGTGAAGCCAGGGCTGGGTGTAGGTGTGGGAATGGACCAGGTAGGCGATAGTGGAGGGCCAAGTAGTCCTAGCAAAACTTCTTAAGTCCCATTTATGATTCTGTGACCAGATGCTTTTGAGATTCGGAGGCTGTCCTCTGTGTTTCTGAGGGTGAGGACCAACGTGGGTGTGCAGGTCCTTTATGACCGGGAAGGCCTGAGGCTGTACCTGCAGGTGGACCAGCAATGGGTGGAGGACACCGTGGGCCTCTGCGGCACCTTCAACGGCAATACTCAGGACGACTTCCTGTACGTGCCCCTGTCCAGAAACCAAAAGGGGGAGGTGTGGGCACCTTAGGGTCAAGGCAGTGGCAGTGCCTTGAAACCCTGTGTCCTGTGATTCTCACTGTGCCTGGCTCACACCATTAATTATTTGTTCCTCCACATCTAAATTGAAGTACATTTCTTTAAAATAATGATTCACAGTCTTCTGGGATCATTTAAATACTGACTACTGGGTCTCACCCTCAAGGGTCTGATAGAAGATTCTTATGGCACAAGAATCTCATTTTTGACAAGCACCCCTTCAATTCCATCCCAGAAGGTAGATGAACCACATCATGAGAAATACTGTTACATATCAAAGCCTTAAAATTTGGGGCCTCAGGTTGGATTGGATTTGATTTGATTTTGGGGGGCTTGTTTTGTGTTTTAATTGATTGCAAATACCTTTAGGTGAAGGCAACTACCCCCCGCCCCTACACATGCGCATGTGCGCCAAAGACACTTGCACATCCACTTTCTGTCCCAGATGGCCAGTATAACCTTTTCCAGCCTTGTGTTTGAACACTTTTGCATTTGCTCCCTATGAGCCTCCCAGTTTCCGGAGGAAAGCTATTTCCCATGAGCTCACAAGTGAAAGAATGATTCTTTGGGGATGATCACAGTATAAGAATTAAGGAGGGGACAAGAGTCAGGACTTTCAGAAAGGAAAAAAAAGCAGTGGTCGTGAGGCTGGAGGTTCTGACCAGTTCGAGATACATGCGGTGGGAGATGTGGAAGGAAACACTGAAGCCTTTCTGTAGCCAGAATGAAGAGTTCAGGTTTGCTGTGAAGAACACGGAGCCTTCAGCTTCGCAATGCATGCAGTATACAAGCGTAGCTTTCTATTGTCTTGTCCAGTAGGGCTCTTGTGAGGGCAGCTGGTTGGAATGGTGGAGGCAGCCCCTGGTTTAGAGTATGGGCTGCTCCCTACCTTACTAACTGTGATTTCCAGGTCAGGGTATTGCCCTATGTAGAATAAGAGCTCTTGGTGCCCTGGAGAAGTTGTGTAGGCATGGGGCATGATGGGTCTCAGACAGAACCCTACCCCCATGCAGACCTCTAGCTTCTTCAATTGTAATTCTTACACCAGGTTTTGGTGATTCTTGAACACTGGTCTTGTTGTGGAAGCATGCTTGACTCACCTTTCTCTCCTCATTGCCCCTGGAATGATCCATTTCCTACCTAGAGAGCCAAAGGGGGAGCCTGGGAGGGGAGATGGAAGAGTCATAGCCCATGAGATCTGGAACTCTTCATGGCAGCCTTGTTTCTCCTTCTTATATGAAGAGCTGGGACTGGATGCTCCAAGTAGACAGTCTGAAGCCCATTTTGACCCTTTTGAGTCTTGTTAAATGTGATGTGTATATGTAACACCTTCATAATCACCTCTGTTTGAATGTGACTGTGAGGAATATCTTGATTATGTGCATATCTGGCATGTACTTGTGCTCTGTGTGTGTGTGTGTGTGTGTGTGTGTTTGTTGGAGATGTGTGCAAGTGGTCTATTATAGGCCTCTATATGCTGTGCTGTTCGTGAGCACATGTATTCCAAATGCATGCTCATGCCTAGTCCGTGACTGTGTGTGTATATGAGCAAATGACTGCTTACATGGGTGGATGCTCTGTGTAGTTCTGCATCCACATGGGCAAACGTGTTAATATGGCTTTGCCATGGCTACAGGTCTCCAGTGGGTGTGCCCGAGAGCACTCCACAATTGTTTGGCAATTCTTGGAAAACCCTGTCTGCCTGCTCTCCTCTGGTCGATGGTTCCCTGCTGGACCCCTGTGATGTTCACCTGCAAGCTGGTGATGTGGGGGACAGTGGGGAGGCTTGGGGAAGTGGAGTGGGGGTGGAATTGTTTTGATCAAGGTGAGATGGGAACTTGACGTGAGGGTGCTGGTCATGTTCATAGAAAGAAGGAAGAGCTACAGGGAGGAGACAGGAGGGAGGTGAGGGCCAGGTGAATGGGAAGCTTTGCACCACCACTGTCACCTACACTTGCCTTTGTACTGGCTCCCCATCGCAGCAAAGGCCAAGTCCTCAGAGGTGTCCACCAGACCTTCCACCTTGTGCCCAGCCTCCTGTCCTGCCCCCTGCTCCAGCCACGTTGACCTCCCTGCTGTTCTGCCCACACCCCAGGTCTGCCCTCCCCCCAGGCCTTGGCACTCCTGTGGCTTTCCTGTGCCATGCTCCTCCACAGGAAGAACTGCACCTCAGCCCTGCTTTCCGATTTTTGCTCAAACATTGCCTTGTTACTAACAGACTTCCTCTACCTGCATTAACGCAGCAGTTGGCCTGCAAGCCCTACCTCACACTCCCCTCTCCTCGCTCTCACTCCTTAGCTTTGTTGCTTTCTGACTGCAGAGATTGTTTACTGACCGTCTCTGCTGACAGAATGTAAGCTCCATGAGCGCAGGAATTTTCTCAGCAATGTTCCTGCCTGCGGCTCTTGTAGCAGAGAGATTCCTGCCTGGCTCGAGGTAGAATCATTACACGCATGTGTTTACATGCCAACACCGTCATTTGCACCCAGGCCATGGCCAACCACTTGTTCACACCCAGGCTTACTAAGCCACATCCACATGTTGAGGGACCTTCCCACATTCCCATTGTACATACAAACACATGCATGCAGACATACACACACACATAAGTACACTCATGCAAGCCCACATGCACACTCATATATGCACCCATAGGCACTCCACATATCCACGTGCCTACACACATGTGTACACATACATGTACACAACACACACACACACACACACACACACACACACACACACACACACACACAGAGCCCCTGAGCTGTGGGGAGGGAAAGCTGCTGAATCCTGGGGCAGCAGGCAGCCAGACCCCTGCTCACTGACCCCTGTCTTCCCGTCCCAGCCTCCTACGCACTGCAGTCCTGCAGTGTGCTCACGGGGGACGTCTTTGCACCCTGCTCTTCGTATCTGAGCCCGGTGCCTTACTTCGAGCAGTGCCGTCGGGATGCCTGCCGCTGTGGGCAGCCCTGCCTGTGTGCCACACTGGCCCACTATGCCCACCTATGCCAGCGCCATGGGCTCCCAGTTGACTTCCGTGCCCATCTGCCAGCCTGCGGTGAGTGCCCCACCCTTGTGCACCCATGGGATCCTGGGCCCAGACACAGGTGTCCCCCTGCCCTGTACATGCTCTAGTATGATGTCCTCTATCTCCTCCAACCTGACTCTGCCCTTCATAGCCTACCTCTCCTCCAGACGGCATGACACTTAGGCTTGACACTTGGGATGCATTGCTTAGGATTGCTTCTGTGGCAGCACCTCAGTCTCTCTCCAAGACCTGTCAGTCTGGCCAAGTCCCTCCCTCCCTTCCTCCCTTCCATCCTTCCTTCCTTCCTCCCTTCCTTTCTTCCTTCCTTCCTTCCTTCCTTCCTTCCTTCCTTCCTTCCTTCCTTCCTTCCTTGCTTTTCCTTCCTTCCTTCCCTCCCTCCCTCCCTCCCTTCCCTTCTTCCCTCCCTCCTTCCTTCTTCTTTTCTTTCTTCCCTTCTTTCTATGTGTGCATGCCATGGTGCACTTGTGGAGCTCAGAGGACAACTTGCAGGAGTCAGTTCTCTCCTTCTACCATGTTGGTCCCAGGGATCGAACTCGTGCTGTCAGGGTTAGTGCCTTTATCTGCTGCCCTGGTTCTTAGTTCTTCTCATCCAGATGACAACCCCAGCCCCACAGCTATGGGGATGACAGAAACCAAGCACAGTCTCCTTTCTTCCTATAGCTCTGTCCTGTGAAGACACTAAGGAGTACAGTCCCTGCGTGGCCCCCTGTGCAAAAACATGCCAGGACCTGGCCAGCCCTGAAGTGTGTGGGATTGAGGGTGGTAACTTCACCAGGGAGTGTATGGAGGGTTGCGCCTGCCCACCGGACACGTATCTGGACACCCAAGCTGACCTCTGTGTCCCCAGGTGAGTGGGCAGCTTGGCCTCTGAGTCGGGTGAGGAATGAGGCTGGGGTCTGCGGGCATCTCTACTGGGGAGCTGGGCTGGACCTCTCTGTACCCCTGCTTCACCTCAGTTACCCAGGCCTTGTGTGTAGCAGGGTTGGGTGGGGGGACTCTCTCTTCTGGACCTACTCCCAGGCTTCCTCTTCTCCACAAGACAGACCAACCTCAGAGCCAAGGGGACCTCCCTCCCTTCGTCTCTCCTCCTCTTCCAGAAATATTTACATACATCTTAGAATGTTCCAGAATTACCAGACATTTGGGAATCTAGCAGTGAACAGAGCAGAATCCTTCCCTCCTAGAGTCCACAATCTACAGTGGCAAGACAGACCCATAAAAACAGATGTTTAAGGGGCTGGGCAGAAAGAAAAGCTAGAAAGCTACATACTACAGTGAGGCTAGGAGCCCTGGGATGTCACATACTGTCACACAGAGGAGACACAGAGCTCAGAGGCCATGGTGGAAGTGACATCTGAGCTGAGCCCTGAGAGGAGGGAAGGCAAGGACCTCAGGCCTGAGGCCAGGGTTAGCCTGGAGTCCAGTCAGAGGAGGCTGGCTTAGTGGGGCTGGGGTGGTAGATGGTGACTCCACAGGATCCAGAGCAATAGGCAAGGCTCCTGGGTCCTCAGCCTCAGTTTCTCTGTTTGTAGAATGATATAGCAATTGGTTGGAGGTTTTCTACTGATGGGGAAGGAGTCACTCCCCTCAGAAGCCTTTTCACATGACAGACCCCCCTTAGCTGCAGCTGTGCACCCACTTCCACCCCCCAACCAAAGCTTCTGTGAAGCCCCAGGGGGTATGGGGGCACCTGTGGAACACTGCAGAAGGTGAATTTGGGGGCCTTCCCAGGCATCCTCCAGCCCCCCAGGGCTGGAATCAGCAGGTGTTGGGGAGCTCTGTGGTAAGGGCACCGGAGGTGGTCTCAGATGCCTCTGCAGATTAAAGACAGCACTGCATCCTCACCTCCTGGGATCCCAGGAACAATCTAGGAGACACGCCTGTGGGAGGGGAGGGCCTAGCCTGGGTCTCCAGCCAAGTGTCAAAATGTTCACCGACCAGTCAGAACAGATGCTGGTGTGAAGGACTCCACACCACACTAGCACAATGTCCACTCCAACATCCATTGGGCTGATCACCTCTCTAGTCCTCACTCCAGATGAGGCCAGCTTTGGGAGTGGATGGAGAACCCTGTGGGCACTTATCTAAGCTCAGAAAATGGCCTCCAGCCTGGCACTGAGCCCTATCTCTGTCCCCAGTGCCCGGCTGGCTCCCAGCCCCTTGGAGATGTGCCACATGTCCCAGGAGGTGCCTCTGACTCTCTCCACATTCTCATGCCTGCCCACAGCTGCCTGAGGGTGGGTCCCCTGCCCTGGCAGCCCTGCCTCCATTCCTGAGTCTGTTCCTTTCCTTCTGGTTTCTGTAGGAACCAGTGCGCCTGCCACTTCCAAGGAGTGGACTATCCCCCAGGGGATAGCGACATCCCCTCCCTGGGCCACTGGTGAGCTCCCTGGGTGTCAGCTACTGTGTGAGACAATGCAGCCCAGCGAAACTATTCCAGAAGGAACGCCCACCCTCTCACTCTGTGTGTGGTAGTGGGAGAGGGGGAGCAGGGACCATGAGTAGGGATGCCTGCCCGAAGCCTGCTGGGAGGACCCTGCATGACTGACGCTGGACTGACATTTTCCCACATCCCCCATCTCTCTGCAGCCACTGCAAAGATGGAATCATGAGCTGTGACAGCCGAGTCCCAGGTAAATGGGGCAGGAAGGAAGAAATCGTGGGGGGCTCCAGAAGTATTAGGGGCTATGTAGAAGAGAGGGGAATAGGGTGATGATCAGGAGGAATGAACACTCTCTAGCTTGCCCTGCCCTGGGCCTCTGTGGCTGAGGCTTAGAGGGTGACATCCTGAAACCCTGTCCTAGACTCAGCCTACCAGGAACCATTTGGTGATCTGGACAGTTGCTGTTCTTTGTTGGGTCCTGGGTTTCCCTGGTCTGAGCTGTCAAGTATCTGCTGAGGCTGGTTCTGCCCAGCCCAGCATTGGACATGAATGGGGTCAGAGATGGGAGGACAGCCTGGGCTGGAACAGTGGTAGCCAATCTGTGGGATGCTTGGAGGTGGGCAGAGCGTGGTGGTTGGAGCACTCTGGGAGGGCTTCCCAGACGGAGGAGCCCATTAAAAACAGGGATTAGGACAGAGGAGGGCAACAGCAAGCATATGGCTGGTGCTTGAAAGCAGGCCTTGAGGCCCAGCCAGCTGGGTTCAAATCCTCATCCACACTCAGCGGTCCTGCAGCCCTGGGGAACTCACTTCACCTCTCTGAGCCCTCATCTTGTATAGACAGTCCAGATCCCCACCCTCATTTCATGCACTTTTCCCAAAGCATCTTTCTTTTGGTCATTTTTGGCTTTGGATTTCTACCTCTTTGGGACATGACTGTTGCTCCATTCAATCTTGGACATGAGACGTAGCTACCTTTTATTGGTTTCCCTGAAGTGATCACTTACACAGAATGGGGATATGTGTGGTAGACTTTGCTGAAGACTCAGGGAGGGTTCATATCGAATAGATGCAGCAGGAAATGAACTCTCCCTGTTGTTTGGAGTTCTCGGGCCACCCTTCCAAGCTGCTTGGCTACCCATCTTTGGGCCCTTTTCCTGGTCCCTCTAGGGCCCTTCCTTTCAGTCCCGGCTGCCTTCAGACAGCAGAGCCTTCACTCCCTCAAGGGAGAAGGGAGATGAAGACCCTTGCACAGTGCTCACAGAATAAAGTCAGATAAGCTTGCTGGGAGTACACGGAGCAGCTGCAGGCATGGGAGACCTGTTTGATTATGGGGTGCCTGGCTTGTACTGTGACAGCACCTGTTCATCCCTGTCCTGGTAATGGGAAACCCACATGATGCCCTGGAAGCAGCACACCTCTCCCTGGCCCCATCAGTAGCTGGCTCCAGGCCTCCTGGATCACACCCCCACCCCGACCAGCACCAGCCCAGCCCAGGCCAGTGACCTGCAATGCTGCCTTCTTCTCTTCCAGCTGCTGCCTGCCCACCAGGTCAGGTGTTTGTGAACTGCAGTGAGCTACACCCAGACCTGGCACTCAGCAGGGAGAGGACATGTGAACAGCAGCTGCTGAACCTGAGCCTGCCAGCACGCGGCCCCTGCCTATCGGGCTGTGCCTGTCCCCAGGGGTATGGAGCCACATTGCTGTGGTCTCTTCTATTTGAGGAGTCAGAGCCAGAGATCTGGGGTGGGGGGAGGCAGGGATAACCTCACACAGCCTGGGGTGGGTAAGGCAGGGCAACTGTGATGCCCATGGGGAGCCCCTGGTAGATAGCAAGAGCTTGACAGTCCATCTTGGAATGGAGCCTGTCAGGTTCTGCTTCCTATGAGCCACGTGACCTTGAACGAGGAAGGCACCTCGCCCTCTGAGGCTCAGTGTTTCACCTGTAAAATCGGAATGAGAATATCCATCACCATAACAGCTAGATTAAGCAAGGTGTCTGTTTTAGTTACTTTCCGTCCCACATCACTCAACAATCAAGAAAATGTCCCACAGACATGACCACAGGCCAAGCCAACAGAGAAAATTCCTCTATTGAGGTTCCCTCTACCCAGGTGTGTCAAGTTGACAACTAAAGTTATCCAGCACAGTGTCAAGATAGAAACCCCAAGGCAGTCATCTACGTGCTTGACATACCTAAGAGACCCAGGGGGTTGAAGACCAGGCAAGAGGAAACCCCTGATTGAGCGCTGTACCTCCTTTCCTGAATAGTCCTGAGCAGGGACCTTGGTAAAGGGCTGATGCTCCTGAAACATTCCATAAAAAAGCCCCACCCAACAAGAGCAGCCTCTCTCCTGGGTCCCCTAGATGCTGTATGGAGGCTATGTGAAACCTACAAAGCCAGGTCATTTACCACAGACCCTGAACAAGATCATCACCTGTGGCCTCTCAGGTCTCAGACCTTGAGAGGAGTGTGTCACTGAAGGCCTCTTGGGGCACCATCCTATGGGCACAAGCCTCTCAGTCTGAGGTCAACAAGAACTGGGGCCTGGGGTCAGGAACCAAGGGTCTCACACTTCACAGAGACATGGGGAAAGAGGCTTGGACTAGAGCTTGGGTAGATCTGGCTCTGGTTGGGTCTGTACAAGATTCACTGAGGCTGAACAGAACATGCTGAGGGGAACCTATGTTCTCAGGGGCTCACTAAAGGGCAGTTAGGACAGGTAGTTCTACCATCCTGGAAAGTCTTCTTGCTGGGAAAGAACTCTCAAAGATGCCCTAGGACCACCCTCACCAACCCCTCTTCAGGACCTTCTGGGACCACAGATGACCTCTGGGTTCCCTGGTCATCATGTCTTTCTCTATAGCCATTAAAGAATCTACTGAACTGGACATTGCAGCAAATGACTCAGCAAGGGCTGGGGTTGTCTGTATCTGTTCTAGTTCGTTGAGATTATGTACTGACCAAAAGCAACTTGGGGAGGAAAGAGTTTATCTGGCTCATCTTCCAGGTTAAGTCAGGGCAGAAACTCAAGCAGGATCTGAAACAGAAACCATGGAGGGGTGTTGTATATGGGATTGCTCTCTGGCTCGTGCTCAGCTAGCTTCTAATGCAGCCCAGACTTACCTGCCTAGGGATGGTGCTACCCACAGTGGGCTGGGCCCTCCCACATCAATCATCAGTCAAGACAATCTCTCACAGACATGGCCACAGGCCAATCTCATCAAGGAAATTCTTCAGTTGGGGTTCCCTCTTCCCAAGTAGCTTTAGGGTGTGTCGAGTTGACAATAAAAACTAACCAAGACCAAGTCACTCCACTCTGGGTGCAGAGCTAAAGGCACTGGGGCAACCAGGCAGTGAAGCACTGTGTTTATGAGCATAGACTGTAGAGTCAGGCTTGAATCCTGGATCTACCACTTCCTGAGTGAGTTAGTTCAATACCTCCAGTGAAATAGAACAGTAAAGGCTTTGTGAGCACAGCTTGTCTTTCCTTATCATGATCCTGTGCGTTTGCAAATGCCTCTCCCAGAGGAAGCCTGGAAAAAGTGGGTCCCTTAAAAGGTAAGGAGAGGAAACACTATAAAATTGAGGGCAACTTGGGGCCAGAAACTCGCCTTGAGCTGTTCATGCTCTTCCCAGTAGTGGGTTCAAAGCATTGCTTAGGGGTACAGGCAGATCTTCCAAGGGGCAAGGAAGGAACAGGGAGCATTGTGGGCAGCAGTGACAGTCTGTCACAAAGTGGCTGGAGATGGCCTGGAGCTGAAGGTGGACGGCAGGGGAATGCTTTTGCTAGTGTCTGATATAATTCCAGGGAAAGCAGAGGCAAAAAAATAATATTTATTGTGTACCTACTAGTGCTAGGCAGTGTGCCAGACCTGTCATTCTCATGATACCTAGGGAGAAAGGTGTCATTTTCCACATTTTATGCATGGGAAAAACAGAGGCTTAGAAAGGTTAAATGGCTTCAGGTGAAACAATAGATAGAGAACGTGGTTTTTCTCTACTTTTTCAAGGCAATGAAATGTTGATAAAAGAATAAAAATGAATTTGGGAAGGACAGAGAAAGGAGCAGGGGGGGGTCGGTAACACTGGATAGGTCAATAGTGTTTGAAGAAGGGACTTGGGCGACCCTGAAGAGCACAGGTTGACCGCCAAAGAGGAGGAGGAGCCTCTGTTGTGCACTCAGAAGGGGGAGATGGCAGGACAGGAGGGTGACTGACTTACCTTACTGTGCTGGGTAACTTCTCTTTTTTCCCTCCTTTCTTTCTTTTTTTATTTTTGAGACAGAGTTTCATATGCCCAAAGCTGGCTTCACATCTGAATGTAGCTGAGGGTAATTTTGAACTTCCGAGCCTCCTGCCTTCACCTCCCAAGTGCTAGGATTACAGGTGTGCACTGCCACACCCAGTTTATGTGAAACTGGGGACAAAACCTAGGCCTTCATTGCATACTGGGCAAGTACTGTACCAACTAGGGCTCCGTGCATGCTGGGCAAGTACTGTACCAACTGAGTTATCCCCCCAGCTTCCATCCAATATGCTTTGAAGGTTAATTTTTTAATATTTTATTTATTTATTTTATTTTCGTCTGTTTGAGACAGGATCTCCCTATAGCCCCAGCTGGCCTGGAACTCACTATGTTGACCAGGCTGGCCTTGAACTCACAGAGATCTGCCTGTCTCTGCCTCCTGAGTGCTGGGATTAAAGGCCTGTGCCACCATTCCCGGCCTTATTTATTATTTTCATTTTATGTGTATGAGTGTATTGCCTGCATGTATGTGAGTGCACCCATGTTGTGCAATGCCATGGAGTTCAGAAGAGGGCTTTGGATTCCCCTGGAACTGGAGTTAAGGATGGTTCATAGCTGCCATGTGGGTGCTGGGAATTCGTCTGTGTCTCCCCATGGGTATGTGCAAGTGACTACAGGTATCTGCAGAGGCCAGAAGAGGGTGTCAGACTCTCTTGAAGCTGGAGTTATAGTCAGTTGCTGCCCAACGTGGGTGCTGGGAACCCAACTCTGGTCCTCTGCATGCACTCTTACCCACTGAATAGACGTGACAAAGCCTTGAAGCTGGAGTTATAGTCAGTTGCTGCCCAACATGGGTGCTGGGAAGCCAACTCTGGTCCTCTGCATGCACTCTTACCCACTGAATAGACGTGACAAAGTGAAAAATATGGCCTTTGTCTTTATTTTAGGGAAAAACAACAATAGTGACTTTTCCCACTAATGATGACGTCAGACTTAAGGGTTTCTTGTGTTTGTTTGTTTCCAGATTTGGTTCTAGTGTGCTAAGAACTTTTGTAATAAATGACTACTGAATTTTGCAA